ATAATACTCGAGAAATCAAAGACCTGACTTGTCAACGAGGCAATGTGACATGTCTGGCAAAAAAGTAGAAAGTCATTTGGCATACATTCTTCGTCATGACGAGGAGAAACAAAACTGAGAAAATACGTAACCCGCGGTTATCGTTGTTTTCCGTCTATTGTCGCTTCCTGGTCTTGAGTGTAAGTCAGTCATGGTAGATCAAATGCATTCGTCCACGGGATCACTACCCTATTCAGCACTTGGATCTTCCCCGGCTCAACGCCAAGATCAGCGCTTTAGGCTATGCTCAGCGCCATGGTGACCTTTGTGACGTCTTTGGACTACCTTTTATGTAGATAAGACCAATTCAAGCCCGGGTTCGACTTACATCGCGGTGCTTCATCCCGTAGTCGTTGTAAAAATCTTCCGATCAAATCATTTCGTATGCATGTATTCACTTATACAGCCAAAGCTCGGTGATCTCTAACCTTGCTCCTAATAAAAACTCCCTCTCATCTGTACAACTCCTATGTCATCCTTCGCTCTCGTTATACATTGTCTACTTCCTCTTCAACCTCAACCTTATCATCGCCATCCTCCTCCTCCTCCATCATTCCCGCCCGCCCGACTTATTTACCGTATTTGCCGCCCCACTCACGGACCCCCGAACCCATCCACCCGCTGCACCCAAAATTTCCTGCCTCTGCCTCCTCTTTGCTGCCGTTCCGTCTGCCACGGCGGTACGGCCTCGGAAGCCCCAAGGCGTCTCCACCGATAGTATTCCCTTCTCTCTCTCTTCTTTTGCTTTTTCCATTGACTGTACATAATGTACATATAGGTACACAATGAATCTCTTACACTCCCCCCCCCGGCTTCCGGTTCATTTTCGTTTCTATATGCACAATACTTAGTCGTATACATCTAAGACACATAGCAAACGCCCCGAGCACTTTGTATGACTCTGTACCTTGCTTTTAATGGAGCCTTGCAACGCTACCCCATGCTTATACGTTCCTCGCTGACAGGATGTCATGCCCGCCATAATTGCCTGCTTCCCCAGGCTCGGAGCAGTCCGGGATGTCTTCTGGCTGACCAGAAACTGCCTGCGAACCTCATCCCTGACCCATCAGGTACGGGCTACTCATGCTGCATGCAGGTCATTGACCATACCTACCATACTTGCACATTTGTAGATTCCCACACGCCCCTCGTTTCAGCCTACTAGCACATGCAAAAAAGCAGCCCATGCTTTGACTGATTTCTTCCCCCCTGATTCACTCAGCTTACCTCAAACGAGTAGTATTGCCTGGCAATACATTACTTTCCCATGTTCACCAGCCTCGGGCAGCAATTTGCTCGGCTTACGACCGCTGCCTGCTCGTATCTGCTCGCATCTCCGAACTGCAGCTCTCCCCGCGGCTGAAAGTATACCCTATATTGTGGTTTCCGACCTCATATCTGCCTTGCCTCTATCAACGGGTTAATACGGAATGTCCAAATCTTCGTTTCTTATCTCGTCAACTTCACAATCACCATGCACGAAAGCTGTTATCTTGTTCAAGCTCCCTTTCATTTCTTCATTTTCATCCCTCGGCTGACTATGGCTACTTTGGTTCAATCCAGAAAATGGCTCTTTTGAACTAAAAGAATCTTCGTCGCCCTTCTAATCTTTTGCAATCGTGGCATCGTATGGCGTCTACAAATGCTTTGTCATGGTTTTGTATCTCTCGGCGCGTATCTAAACGCAGTCCGCAGATCATGCCAACCTGCAGCCCCCTGTGCTTTCCACCCTAGGCACCATGTAAGCCAAAGCTTCTATATGAGTTTGTAGCCGTCTTTTTTACCATCCGTTTCCTTGGCGCCTATCCATCAGAGCTGCTTTCAGCCCTCATCCTATTCACCTTCTTCCAGCAGAGCCGCCGGAGGCTGGCATCTTCTGCCTCGTACTTTTTTTTTAATGGCTAAATGACAAATGATTCTTTACTGGTCGTCGCTGGTAATGAGTTTGGTGATCTTGCCAATGGCAATGGTTTGTCCCTAGTGCAGTGTAATTAGCAAAGACAGTTCAACAAAGGAAATGTCATCATAGAATTGGCGATTTTCTTCATACCTGGTCTCGGAGGGTGAAACGACCCATCTGGGGGTAATCCTCGAACTTCTCGACGCACACCATACCAGCGCCTCCAGTCACCTGAAGTCTAGCAATGATGCTGTCGCCCCTCTTGGCGTGTGTGGGAGGAACCTTGCTCTTACGGCCGGTGCCCTTCTGGAGCTTGTGTAGCAGCGACGAAAAAGTGACCTCTTCGATGGCCGCATGTACGTGCAGCACGCAGTTGAAGCCGGAAGTGAGAATGCTCTTGAGGTCCAAAACCTTGATTTGGGCCTCAAACTCAGCTACGCAGTGCACAAGTCGCTTCGGCGAGCAAAGCACAAAGCCGGGCAGGATGTCTTCTTCTTCAATGCCCTTGAGACGCAACCGAACTTGGTCACCGCACTGGAGGATGGGCTGCTCCTCTTCCTGCTCTCCGTAGATGGCAGCCGTTTCCACTGGCTGCTTTCTAGGCATCATAACCAACGACATGCCCTTCTTGATGACTCCCGCCTCGATCTTGCCGTCGACCATGGTGCCCAGATCGCGGTACTTGGCATTGATGGGCATCATGAATGGCGCGTTGACCTTGCGTTCCAGAGCCTGCATGCCGTCAAGGTACTCCAGCAGTGAGGGTCCCTTCCACCAGGGAGCAATACCCTCCGGTAGTCGGTCCTTGATGTTCAGAGATTGCTGAGCGGCCACGGGCATGAAGTAGACGTCGGTCTTGAGGTTGTAGCCGGTTCCCTTCAAGAACTGCTGTAGTTTGGTAGTACATTCCTTGTAACGCTCCTCGGACCACTCCACCGTGGGGTCGTCCATCTTGTTGATTGCCACAATCAGCTTGTTGACGCCCTGAGTCTTGGCAAGCATAGCATGCTCACGGGTCTGTCCTCCTCTTTCGAAACCTGTCTCGTATTCACCCTTTCGCGCTGAGATGACGAGAATACCAACATCTGCCTGCGAAGCACCTCCAATCATGCTGGGAACGTATGTCTTGTGACCAGGGGCATCCAGGATACTGTAGCGACGCTTCTCGGTCTCAAAGAAACCACGTCCAACCTCGACCGTCTTTCCCTTGGTTCGCTCTTCCTTGGTCAAATCCATGACCCAGGAGAGATACCATGACTCACGACCCAGGTCCTTGGCCTCCTTCTTGTACTTGTCCATGGTACGCTCGTCGACCATTCCGGTGGTCCACAGGATCGAACCGCCCAAAGTTGACTTGCCTGCGTCGACGTGTCCAATGAAAATAATGTTAACATGCTCCTTTCCGTAAATTTCCTTGAGAGTATCATCGTCCACATCAGCTGCCTGCGCCTTGAGGACGGCATCGACTTCGCGCTGAGTCTTCTTCTCTCCGGCAGACGGGCTAGAGCGGCCAGATGATGGGTCGGGAGATGTCCTTCCAGAAGACTTGCCACTGGCGGCAGCCTTTCCTGCCTTCTCGCCAGTCTTTTCAATAGCCTTGGCGGCGGTAACCTTCTTACCCGCATCAGGGGCGTTGGACGGCTCAGTCTTGGCCTCATCCTTGGCCGGGGAGGGAGAGGAGGCAGCGGGAGCGCCAATCGACAATACCTTGGCCTTGGGCTTTGCGTCGCCTCCAATGCTAAGCACCTTGGCACCTCCTTCAGTGGTGACAACAGGCTTGGGGGCGCTAGCGGCAGCGGCAGGTTTCTCGACGGGGAGCGACTTTACAGGGGCAGCCTGTGCAGCGTTGTTCTGGGCGGGAGCTGCAAACTGCTGCTGTTGCTGGTTTCGCTGGCCTTGCTGACCTTGCTGCTGGCCTTGCTGCTGGCCATACTGAGGATAACCCTGGCCTGTGATAGTTTAAGTGTGGTTAGTCTATCTGTGGGTGTTGAGATGGGTGGATACAGCAAACGTACTAAAGTTCTGGTTTTGGTTGTAGCCCTGGTTGTAGCCGCCGTAATTTTGATATTGCTGGTTGTACTGATCGAATCCTTGACCTTGACCTGCGCCATATTGAGGATAGAATCCCTGGGGTTGTTGATAGTACTGCTGCTGGTACTGCCCGTATCCTCCACCATAGGACTGGCCAGGCTGGAACGAGGCAGCACCGGGCTGGAATGAGGAAGCGCCGGGTCGGAAGCTGCCCTGGGCAGCAGCAGGGTTCACGTTGAGCTGTTGCTGAGCCTGCTGGGCGAGGTTCTCGTCCTGAGCAGCAGGATCGTCCTCCCAAGAGTTGAGGTTCGACATTGAGGCGATGGCAATATCTTTCTCGTCTGACCTTTGCTGGCGGGGCTGACCGTTCGAGAGTCGTCGATCTAACGGTGCTTCTGTCTGTCTATCGACCGCGTTGTGGTCAGATGAATAGCACTGAAGAAGCGGGTGCCGTCGGAGACCTTTGGGTTGTCGGACTTAAGGTCTTTGGGGTTGAAGGCGACGGTCGACGTCTCGTTGGTTTTATGGTGGAGGTTGTGAAAATTCGAGCCCCACCAAGGCAGCGACATGACATCGATAAAGTGTGGTGCAGCAGGTTTTGTGGAGGGGTTCTCACAGTGCATTTCTATGATGGGGAAACTGTACATGTTTAGGCTTCAAGTGTGAGTCAATAGAAGGCCTTAATGGACATAATGTAGGCTACAGTGAAAAGTGTCTAGTCGACAAGGCCCCAGATTAGATACGCCTCGAATAACAGGGACATTCTAGAGGCGAATTGTTGCTGTTTCCGGGTATTTTGTGCTGTCATTCACACATGGCGTTTAGGCACCCTTGAGACGGACCTGACTCACAGAAAATTATTCGCACTGTAGCTGCGCTGAGCCCACTGAACTTCATAAATCTTTTATGTCAGTGAACGGTGGCTGCTGCTTACGGGCCAATCTCTCATCATGCCCTGAACTCAATGCTAAAATTTGCCGCTATGTCGTGATTTTCTCATGAGAGTCTTCGAATATACCAAACTGTAACTATGGACGATTTTCTGGCAGCAGTTGGCGCGCAGGCCATGAGATATGCCATACGGTCTGGCATCGCCTTGACGTCCTCTTATGCCATCAACCAATGCTCTCGCCTGCTAAAGGCTGTCGACGACAAGAACCTCCAATCCGAGCTCAGGGTGCTCCAAAAACAACTGGATGGTAAAATTAAGGTATTGAGATATAACCCAATTTTTACCCAGAAAATGAAGAATTCCGCCCCTTCATTCAGTTATGCTAATCATTGATGTTCAAGATCATCTCTCCTGCGATTGATCTTATTGAGTTCAAGTAAGTACTGGCTATCTGCATTATGACATCCATTAGCAGAGATGATGAAGTGCTGACGAACTAGATCCGGGCGAGGAAACATCTTTCTTGAATCCGCATTGCCTCTCGCAAAGTCTCTTCACCAGCAGATCATCTCCTTGGGACGTCGTGTGGAGGGTGCCGCAGCCGTCGAGGAACACATACACAATCTATCAGAAAATCCAAAGACAAAGGAGGCTGACCATGACGCATTAAAGAGGGTGATTAGAGATATCAAGAGTCTCCTAACCGAGATTGACCGGGAAATTCCTCTTCTACAGCTAGCTATATCAGCATCTGGTGAAAGCCTGTCTACTTCACTCCCACCTGGAATATCTCCTTCTCGACTGTTGCAGGCTAGTACCCTCTTGACCGTTGGAGATACACAGCATGCACAGGATCCTACAAGAACCGTACAAATCGGGCCTTCATTTACGCTGTCTGTATACATGCTATTCTTGGGACACACATCTGTATCGTCTGCACCTAAAGATGATAAGTCAAGTCCGAGAAGCAGTAATCAGAAAATTAGCTCAAAAAACACAGACCAGATCCCAGTCTATGGTCTAGGCGAGCACGATAGACGGCCTGTATGGCAGGAGGCGATACACAAGGCTCGGGTGCGGCTATGCAGGTCCGCTTCCAAGGCAGCCATAGATGACAAGAGTTTCATTGAAGATAAGGAGAACGCATCGAACTTTGAAGTCGGCCCCACTTATGCCTACCACCTCGAAATTATTGAAGATTTGGACGATGGGCGGGCTCATGAAGGGGCTGCCCAGGCACAAGCATACAACGGCGTCTCAAAAGCTGGCATTCGTGAACATATTCCGATTTACCAGCTCGCCAAGATATTCTACACAGACACTGGCAGAATGCTCAATATCGGCGATGGGACTGATGGAGAGAATAATCCAGTTTTACTCCTCAAGCGAGACATTAAGGCATCTCAGCTGCAAAGGCCAGAACATGAGATGTATGGAGATGCAAACAACGCTACGCATGACGATAGTGGTAGCCAACAAGAAGTAAACGAAGATGATCAAGCCGACGTGGATCGACAACTATTCGGAGAATCACGAAAGAAGCGGCTCTCTTTGATAAGCTCTGGGAATGTTGAAGAGAACTACATCACCGCCTTCCCCAAACACCTGGATCCCGAGTGGATAGCTTTTGAGGTGTACGAAGAAGACGACGAGCAGAGTGAGACGAGTTCCATTTCGGGCCTTGACGTGGACTCATCAAACGAAGCCGACGGGCGCGGCAATTCACCAGAGAAATCACCATCACGCCTTCGCGCAATGGACTCGAGTTTGGTCTCCCAGATCAAGAATCTGTCTGTTCAGCCCACGTCACGCAGCACTCTCACTTTAAGCTATTCAGATCCTAGCCTTGGTCGTCCATCGCAAGACCTGGCCGTAGATTCGGCAAGAAAAGCGCAGGATTTTGTATCGCGGTCACCGTTTGGAACTATCACGACATCGCTCTCACTAATTGAGATGCTCATTCGGCTTGCTGGCCTTCAAGAGTTTCAACAGGCTTCCCATTTGTCGATTCCAGACCACATCCTGACATTTTTCTTGGAAGAGACGTCAACGACAGGGTTGACGGGCGAGGCTATGTGGAGGGCCAGGAGTCAAACCAAACAGCGAGTAGGATTTGATCCATATACTGATGCAGCACGATGAGGCCGATCTTTGTGGCATAAGATTGAATACAGAGGTAGAACAATCTTTATACGAACACCTCTTTAGAAACATTAGTTCACTAAAATGACTTGACTTTCGTTGCCAATGCTGCAAGTCGTAGTGAAGGGTGTGGAAAGGCGGTTCGTAATTAGTTACATACCTTTCCAAAGCCTTCAACGCCCCAACGTCGCGGCGCCAGCAGTTCTATGACGGCATTCCCAGGAGCTAAATTAACACCTTCGTTCACTACTTCAAGCGCCTTTTGGACAACTGCCGTTATGATACTTCTCTACATCAATTTCTTCTTTTCCTAAAGTTGACAGTAATACTACTTCCCTGCCCAACAAACAGCCTGATTGTTGAGTCGTTGAGACGAGTCGCTTGCATAGGCTGCCACGTCAGCGCATACCCATCCGAGAATCGAGTCCTACCTCAACCTCGGTTTCAGATGCAACTGAAAGTCATATATAGAAGAATCTTTGACGGATTTTCTCTACCTGTAATTTCATTACTATCCAATCATCGCACAATGGCGCCTCTTATTCCTCGTCTGCATCTTTTTGAGATTGACGATCAGCCATGGTGAGAAGCATTCCTTACTAGCGCTGCTCTACCTTGATCTTACTCACCTACTTCATGAACTCACAAGTGCGATAAATATGCTTCAAGAGAAACTCTCTAATTAATGAGCAAACATCTAGGTTCCCTGATTTTTTACGCAGTCGCATCCAAAATGCTCTCACTGGGGCTTGGAACTCCAATACTCCTCTTCAACCCCAGTCACCTGCGCGCATCGCCGCATCTACACTCACTCGCGAACTCGGCAGCTCACTCTCATCATACACCTTTATTGACTTCTGCGCCGGTGGCGGTGGACCTACACCGACTATTCAAACGGCCATAAATGCTCATCTCCTTGCTGTAGGAAAGCCGCCAGTTGATTTCATCCTGACAGACTTGCATCCCAACGTGGGGGCATGGGACGAGATTGCGAGAAACTTTCCACAAATGTCATATGAAAGGCAATCCGTGGATGCAAGCAAAGCTCCTAAGTATCTCGTGGAACGTCAAGACGGAAAGAAAGTGATGCGGCTGTTCAACTTGGCTTTCCACCACTTTGATGATGACTTGGCGAGGGATATACTTAGAGATACAGTCAGGACAAGCCATGGATTCGCCATCTTTGAGCTTCAAGATCGTAGCCTCGCAGGCATGATTAGTGTCTGCATGCTGGGAGTTGCATCAATAGTCATGGCACCAGCTTTTGCCTGGAAGTGGAGATCTCCCGCTTCTCTTGCATTCTCATGGCTTTTACCCGTCTTACCATTTGTCTTGGTATTTGACGGAATAGTTTCGTGTCTAAGGACGAGGACTCCCGGTGAGGTGGAAAGTCTCCTCCGTGGCTGCGGTGCGGACACAAGCTCATGGGAGATACGAAGTGGTCGGTGTAAGTTTATCTGGCCGTGTGGATATTTGAATTGGGTTATATGTAGGCCCGTTGAGAGGGATTCATAAGTGCTATGTACAGTAATGAAATGACTAGTTTGCAGTCTCATACTACTACAGAATCAGTCAGCGGAACCACCAATTCACAGATCCATTGAGACGCCCATCTGATTGTTTGCTCTTAATAGAATGCCACCAGCCTTTCGGAATGAACAAGGCGTCCCCGGCAGACAGCTCTACCTCTTGCACGTCCGATGCCGCCGCCTTGTCTTCCCATACGACGCTGTGAAGCATGTCCCTCTCATGTCCCTCCATCATCTCTGTAGATCGCATTCGGCTGTTTCCAGATTGTCGAAGCCGCATTTGAACATTGTTATACAATTCAAGTCCCACCTTGGGCGGCAGAAGCCTCACCACTTTGCTGCTACACAGCTGGCAGAACAAGTTTGGATTCGGATCCCGATGCAGCGGAGTATACGTCGGCTCAGTGCCCAGCCATATTGAAGAGCTATATATATCGCCTCTTCCGACTTTGCGAATTAGTTCTGGAGTCGGTACATCGTTCTGTAATTCGCTAGGAAGATCCGACAACAAAGACTGGGCAATATAAAGCTGCACAGGCGGATCTGCCTTTATCCTCTGGGCTTTGTTGAACTCGAGTGCCTTGATTAGAAGCCTCAAGGGTGCATAGAGCTGAAAGAATTGATGATCGCGAGAGGCCTCTGAAGCAGCAGCAGACTGAAGAGCTACCGCCCAATCCCGATCGACAGCATCTTGACTGCTTAACAAGCTATCGTAGAGACGGTATATGGTCTCAGATCCTTGGAAGAAGGGTTTTATCAGTTCATAGGGCAAGACTAATTGCTGGAAAGAGTCGATGTAGGAAGAAAATGACGTGTTTTCTTCGTCCCTTTTGAACCACTTATGGAAAGCTGGAAGAAGGTATGTGGGAGAGGTATCAGGGTCTGAAAAGACATACGGTCTTTCGGCCTTGAAGCTATCTTCGAATGTCAATCCATCTATGACTCCAGATCTCTTGATTGGCTGATCATGTGCAGACGCAAAGTTGCGGAAGGGCACTTTGTTGATTTGAAGCTTCCAATCCGATGCGCGTTGGAGAATTCTGAAGCCCCTCTGCATTGTGAACATGTGATACGACGATGAGTAAAAGTGAGACAAGGTAAGCACCTAATCGGTAGGTTGCACGAGATTTACCATCGCTGTCGACTTGGCAGGGAACAGAACACAAGCTGACATATGCTACTGTATACCCGTGAACAGGAGCAATTTCATTTCTTGAACAAGTAGGTGCTAATATAGCAGCAACTCATCCTCATTATCGAATCTTCTTTCTCTATATGCCATTCCCACCTAGCTACAGCTTCCTGCCTCATGTCACTGCTCGGAAGCGGCAGAATCAGTCACCGCCCGCCATAGCTCCTTAGTCATGCTTTTTCCCTCCTCCACCAAAGCAGTCAGGCCAAGCTCATCCACCCAACAATTGCGACTTTGGCCCAAACGCTCTGGCTGACCCGCCTATTCGCCCTCTCAAGCGCCCAGCCTCATCGCCAGAGCAAGTCTCAGACGAGGCTGCCGCCAATCAACACTGGCCTCGCTGCTTCCATCCGTCGGGAATGCCTGCGCGATAAAGACTCAACTGGATTCGACCTGCCCTCATTTTGACGCCATATCCTACGAATTTGCAGCACCGACCTGACGTCTGCGTGGGCTTTGGATAGTGCCTGAAGCCCAACGTTACGCGCCTAGGACGCTGCCATTGACGCCAGAAACCACCCCGCCACGCCTGCTACCTGCCTCTGGGCGCTAATCTGGTCCCGGAGCCTCAGCACTACCACCTGCTGCCAGCGCCCTTACGCGACCTGCCGTTGCAAATTTATCGATAGCACCACCGCCAATCCATCCCACGACGAACCCCACCTCGGCCAACCTCTTGCCTTATCTTCAGCCCTCAGCCTTTCGCCTTTAGTCTGCGCGCAGGCCTTGATCGAGCGGGATCAATCTCCGTCCTTTTAATCGATACCATGTCGACGTCTTCGGGAACGCCCGAGTCCTGGATCTCCAGCTTTTGCGCTCTGCCGGGCCACGAATACTTTGCTGAGGTCTCCGAGGAGTTTATCGAGGATGACTTCAACCTGACGGGTCTGCAGACCCAAGTTGCCATGTATAAGGAGGCGCTTGAGGTATGTGGCGTGTTGACTCTATCGGCCTTTCGACCTCCTTTTTCTTGGCATATCTTGATGACTTGTCGCCATGCTGCGCTTCAACTTTGAATGTGACTGATTTGTTCCCCTAGATGATCCTTGATGTCGAGACCGAGGATGATGAGGACGAAGAGGAGGATGAAGAGGATGAGGATGAAAACGAATCGGGAGAGGAAGCCGAACGCGCGGGCATGCGACACGGCGCAGAGCGGCGACATCATAGCAGGATGGCTAGCGACCTGTCCGTCATCGAATCATCAGCAGAGATGCTCTACGGCCTCATCCACCAACGGTTCATCTGCTCGCGCGTCGGCATCCAGCAAATGAGCGAAAAGTACGAATTCGGCCATTTCGGATGCTGTCCCCGGACACACTGCGAGCAGGCACGCACCTTGCCTGTTGGCCTGTCCGACATTCCCGGTGAGGACACGGTTAAATTATTCTGCCCGTCGTGTCTCGACGTTTATGTTCCACCTAACAGTCGGTTCCAAACTGTTGACGGCGCTTTCTTCGGTCGCACATTTGGAGCTCTCTTCCTCCTTACTTTCCCCGAATACGATCTTACCAAGCGCGGTGCCGATGTCCTGTCAAGCACCAACTCCAAGGTGCCTGACGACGAGAGCATTCTCAACGGCATGTTTGCCAAGAATATTGCCCCTGGCCTTGGCGGCGGACACATCTACGAGCCCAAGATTTACGGGTTCAAGGTCTCAGAGCGAGCGAGATCAGGCCCCAGGATGCAATGGCTACGAGACCGACCAGAATTTATCACCGAGCTGGATGAGGCACGGCTATACCACGAGCAGAACCCCGACTCTGACGAGGAAGAGGACGAGTCCATGGCTAACGGCCGCGCACTGGTCCGACGGCGACCACCTGGCAACGCTCGCCTTCGCCAGCGACCAAATCACAGTGGTAGTCCTATGGCTCTGTCCGCCAACGGTGCCGAGTCTGAGCTGTAGCGTAGCGAAACCTCACGTAGCGAGACTAAATGGAATTACAAACGATATAAGCGCAAGACGAGGCAGATGAACATGGTTCGTTCTCAACAAAGAGTTTTCCTTATTATGACGCTATTTAATATGAAGAAAACTTACAGACGAAAGAAGAGACAGAGAGATAAGAGAACAAATCGCCATCGACAATCGCCGTCGGCCTCGAGTTGCTGTGTACGCAAGCCAAGAAGAAGCAGACCGCTATCAAGAGAGTAAGGTACTGCTGCCTTTGGTTGTGCTTGTGTGCCCCTCGGGATTCATTTCGTTTCTCTTATCTCTAATTTCCCATCTTGCTTAAGAGATGTGGGCTTTGTGGTGCTTGGAAGGGCTAAGCCAGGCTGTTGTGGAAGCTTATCAACGATGGGCAGCTTAAAGGTTACAACAGGAATCAGGGGTGGGGGGGCAACATTCAAAAAAAAAAAAAGGCCAAGGGGTTAGGCACGACGATATGGGATACCTTGCAGGATATGTTTAGTTTTAATAATGCGAGTAAATGCGAGGTGTCTTTTTTCTTTCTTCTTCTTTGAAGAACATATATATTTATCCACGAGTTCCTGGTCTTTTTACAGGTAGACATGTGTCGAGTTTATCACAAGATTCGAAGGCAAACAAAATATGCATCCCAAACATCCCTTGACTGCCTTACTTATCTCCAACTTTGATATGACAGGCAATCTCCTCCCTCTGCATATGCATCTCATGTTTCCCCCCCCTGCGTATGCATCTCATGTTTCCTCCCCTCCAGGTAGCCCATAGCTCGCTTTCCCTGCAGATGCATTACGATAAAGACTTTCAAATCCGTCAAAATATCCTCCTCATTCCTTCTCTCCTCCAAGTTGCTTGTAGACAGCGTTAAATCACCTCATAGGTGAACCTTTTCCCGGTGTCCAACTGACTCCACTTCCGAATCCCCTTCCTCTCGCAGGCGTAGTTGGCGGCCCAGGAGTGAGGGTGGGTGTGCTCCCATTCTCCACAGGCAAAGGAGGCGGCGTCTCTGATCTGGGGACGTCCAGCGCGCCATCCCTTCGCGGAGGTTTAAAGTTGACGTCCCTGCCGGCGCGGTAAATGTCCTGTAGCATAGTCTCCAAGATTCCAGCGTCCTTGAACTCAAGGTATTTTCTATACAGCTGGAGGGCCGTCCTGGAGTCTTCGATGGAGTCGTGCGTCTCCATTTGGATGTCTTCTTTGAGCAGGTACCATGCCAGGAAGGCGAGCGACAGCTTTCGCAGGCGTGATTTGAGGAAGAAGAGATCGATGGTGTCGATGATTTGCGATTTGGGGACGTGGATGTTGATGACACGGAAGTCTTGCTTCAGTCCGTGGCCCAAGAATTTGCAACCGAGGTTGAGTAGTATCCAAAGCTTTTTATATACCACCTTTAGCGGCAGCAGGCTGTGTTTTGTGGTGTGTGGATTTAAGTCGTTTGCGGTGATGCCCGAATATGATGTTAGATAGTCGACGATGGGTTCTCTGATGGAAATATAGTCGTCGATGAAGGGGACGCCTTCGTCTACACCTTGGCCTCGGACGACGGAGGCGCGGGCGAGTGCGTAGACTATTGGTCGGATGGTTTCTCGTTCGCCGTCCGAGTTCATCTCAATCTCTGGTTGTCGCACCGCAACGAATTCGGTGTCCAGTGCAATGATGGTCTCTGGCCCAGGTCGCTCTGTTACTGGATCCAGAAGCTTGTATGTCTTGTTCTCGGTGCGAGAGCTAGGACTAGAGAAAAGAATGTTAGCCATGATTTGTCTCGTTATGCGCACCAAAGGATTGTGTAACTTACTTGAGATCCTGATAGAGAAGCGATGTATCAATGTTGTTCTTCCAGCTGTTATCGATCTTGTTGTTTGCATTCTTCACTTGGAACGTGACAACAGATGGAACTTTCCAAGAGTGGGTAAAGGAAAGAGCTTCTTCTGAGCTCACAGAGCGGACTAGAAAGTCGTTGAATAAGTGCCATTGGCTCTGGCCGGGAGCGGTTGGTTCAGCATGAGCGACTACTCAAAAGTTAGTGACAAAAATCCAGGACGGAAGAAGGGAAATGCCCAAGAGGACGAGTATCATACCATTAACCATGGCTACGAGATGCGGCTTTTGTGCCTGGCTGCTCTCGATGCTGATAGTCATTCCGATCAAGGAATAGACTGTGATATTATGAATGCCACGTTGTAAGTGAAGCTTCAAATCTTCGCCCTCGTAGCAAAAGAACTGGCCTTGCTCGACGATGATGCCGATTTCCTCTGGTAGCCAGCCAGGTGTGTTCCAAAGCATTCGATGATCCGCATTGACGATTGCGGTGTTGAGCATCAGGACGTCCGGGACGCTGTGAATGGTTTTTCTGGTTGCAATGGTTTGATACCGTTGGCATCTGCTGCACCATCCTTTCGCTGTCGTCTCTCTCTCCACGCTGCCCTTAAGAATTTGGGAGAAAGTGGTGCGAGGGATTTTGTTGTTTCGACCTGGGGCTTTCTGGAAAGTGTGTCAGAGAAGAATGACTTGGAGAAACGATAGTGTTCAACTTACAAGAGGTGGATAAAGCATTTCGTTTACATATGTCGATCCAGGTCGAGTATACTCGCTCCTGCAATTCATGCATCTGATGGAGCTAGTTGCTTTGGTCGCCAATACCTGATCCATCGAGGAGGAAGCTGGAGCCATAGTCTTATAGTCTCCAGCAATTCTCTCCAACAAGAACCGAGTTAGTGTCTGTAGCATTACACTTAAGGATGCCGAATGTGTATCCTCCTCCAGTAATCCCAGGGGAGCAGCTAAAAGTATTATTAGCAACAGAACGCGATTAAATTCGGGGGACAATGGGGATGGAATTGAGACAAACCTTGAGGGTGGCTGCTGAGAGTCTTGAGCATATTTGTAGCCTGGCAGATTGATCCTTCTGCTTTCTGAAGCATGTCGAAAAGATATCCCAGTTCGCAAAGGAGACAGACTTCGCTCACACAGGCTGTGGCTGCATGTTGTAAAGCCAAGTTTCGAATCAAGGGTGTGAAGTTCATGATTTGAAGAAGTGAGTTGGCGTACGAGTTCGATATGTGAATCTCAAGGCCAGAGTATCGTGTTGTATTATAAAAGCTGACTTGTTAGCCTCGAAATTCAGACACAGAGATGTGCTCATTTACATACCCAAAGTCGAAATCGTCGACACCAAATTTGCTGTATTTGATTTCGACGTTTCTGTACATCATTGGGAATTCCGATTTTCTGCTCTCAATTTCCATTTCTGCAAATGGATTCGAGAGTTCGTCTGCCTTTTCTCCAGCAGACGTCGAATCTGATTTGGCAGATTCTCGAGCCTTTTCGCTGAGAAATTTGGGAGCTTTAAGGCCGGATTTAGCGGATTTCTTTGAGCTCCGAGTATCTTCAATCTGGTTCCTGCGAAGGCCTGTTGTATTCCGACCATAGAATCCAAAGTCGGTAGGTTTTAAGCTCGCAAGAAATTGCGGATCGAGTCTGGCTGGAGGTGCTCCAACGTCTGCGATGGTTTCAGGCCACGCAGAGGCAAGTTTTTCTCTGTAGTATGGCACGCCGACAGCGTTCAAAGGGCTATATTGTGTTAGCTTATACATCATGAGCAAAACATTCAGTATGCAACTTACGCGTCGGAATTCCATTCCAGAGGCTGAACTGGTTCTTCAGTTGTGGTGAGTTCCATGGGCGTAGGTAGGTCCACGAAATGAAGTTTGGATGGTGATCCCCACAAATGGATGTTGCACTCTGCATCGGTGAGAGCCATGGCCTCGCCGGAAGGGGCGATCTCAAACATGCTGAGGTAACTCAGTACATTGGCCTGTCGTACATTACTGGTGTTTGGGTTCATGAGATCCACCACATGCATCTGGCCGCTTTGCGACACCACAATGCTGGTTGTGAGCATGCGCGGGTGCATGCGTACATATGCCGCGCCGGCGGGGAACGGGATCGGCGGCATCGATGACATCTTCTTGATATCGAAGACATTGAGGAAGGGATCCAGCATGTAATTCTGGCCCTGGCGAAGCGAGTAGCCGCATGTAACAATGAAGTCGTGCTGAGCATCCATGTCGTTGATTAAGGCTGAATGCGCATTCCAGGTCTTGACGATGGCAAAGTTGATGGGATCCAGAAGGTGTACCGATCCGTCCCTTGTTGCCGCGCAGATATAGCGGCCGCGCTTCATGATCAGGTATTGATGGTCGGTTGGAACCTGCGTGCCGGTCGGTTAGAACCGGGGATGGAAAATGTGACTTGGGAGTAGCTGTAGCTGTTTCTTACCTGTTTGACGACTTCCCCTTTAATGAGGTCAATAACAAACATGGTGTTTTGCAGACCAGCGACTATGATCTCTGCCGTTCCCTTTGAAGTAAAGCTCATGCACTTTAGGTCTTTCATATCCTCGTGGCTAGATGCGTATCAGTATTCTCGCTCGCCCAAAATGCAGTATTGTCCACGTACTATATGTGCCACATGGTGGCCCCTTTCCTAGTCGCCATATGCACGTTCTTGGGACCCAATGTCACAACGCCCTTATCGTTTGTCAAGATCTGCCGAACAGGCCCGTCTGTGCTTGGATGTGCCTTGTATGTGGTGAAGCGTTGAAGCTCGGTGCCTACAAAGGCAGTGACTCGACCCTGTCAAATGTTAGAAGTTGTATTGAAATAAGGCATCTGCGACTCATTTGATCGTACATATTCGTTACCAGCCCAGAGAATCTCTTGGGAGGTGTCAAAGGCCATCGTGGAGACCTGCGTCGGCAGCGCATGGGGGCCCGGAGGCGGAAATGGAATGCGAGCGACCTATCAGAAACAGTCAGCAAATGTGAATCCTTTGGAAAAAATATTCGTAGTGGTTGAGAGGCGAGATAGCGACAGTAGGCAGCGCGATAGCTCTCGCTACAGCTACCGGCCATGATAGTCAACGTACCTCATCCCAGTCTCCGTCCATTGTAGCGATTTGCTCAGTCCCGCCGGTACCAAAGCCCGTCTGAAAGGTCGCAATGGTACCGCAAGCCCTGCAGAGGCTCCAGGGGAGTCCGGCTAAGAATGCGGGCTCAATCAACAAAAATGCGGCAAAGATGTGGTGCTTCTAACACCACGATATCGCTGTAGTCGGGGGACGCGACCACCCGTTAGTTCGGAGGGGCAGTGAGGTCACTAAGTTTATCCGATATAATTCCGAGGCCTAACCTGGGAACTGCGAAAGCTCGAGATGTGAACGTAAAGCTGACTGATTCTGGGTAACAAAAAGTCGAGATGGTGAGATGGTAAGATGGCGAGAAAGGAAAAGAAAAGAGAGTGAAAGAAGGGGATATATATTTATATTTTTGCTTTGGAATCGTAATTGACCCATTTATATAAGTTTGCAACAACCTTTCTATAAAGTTACGATAGCCTCATGCGGCGGCTCGACACTGCATCATATCCTTTGCCATACTGGTACATATAAGAGCGGATCCCCCCCCCCCCCAAAAAAAAAAAAAAAAAAAAAAGAGTGTCTCATTTGTGGGATACATAAACTCAAAGAAATGTGTTCTACCTTGCAGCAGTGTAGTAGAGTGTCTGTGGAATTGCTATGAGCTCATGTAGTAGTAGCTGGTTAGTAGTCTCGCGTATCTCGTTATACGTGTAAGAGCGGAACTGCAACGAAGATTAGTGTTTGCTTCATCGAGCCCAGTTACCAGAAGCAAACCATGAAGTGTGTGAGAAGAAGTCAAATACAAGAGAACAGAGAGGTAAATATGGAACTCGAACGGTTTACCTAGCGGCGGTATAGTAAAGTGTTGTGAACTCGTCAGAAGCTCAAGTAGGGGCTGGTTATGATAGTATCGTGTGATTTGTAGGAGCGGATCCGCAAACGAACATTTAATATCTGGCTTCATGGGATATAGTTCTTGAGCAAGCCATAGAGTACGTAAGATGAAGCATAATAGAGATGAAAAGTCAAAGAATTGGATATGGGAGCCTAAAGAGCTGCGCTTGATCTAGCAACGGTCACAAGCAATTTCGTGGCTGCGAGAATGGGCCGAAAAGGAGTAAAGGACGCAAAGCTTAAATGGCCGTGGAAAAAAATAGACGAGGAAGAGAATTGCACTCATGGGGCTATAAACAGCTTTTTTTTATTTCATTTCTGGGAACTTGATATATAGTAAAGTTGACGGCATGTGCGCCCTTTGGCCTTCCCGGTAGCCAGACGATATTCTCACCCGATTGCTCTACCTCCACCTTCCACTTAGTCCTCGTTAGTTCCCCAATCTCGTCCCAGAGCCGCTGGAAACTTTCCTGGTTGTGGAGATAGGGTGAGGAATCTCCCTTTTCAGGCTTCTGAGTATGAGTGACGCCGACATGTCGGCCGTATATGAAAGCGTTGCGTATCTCGGGCTGTAGAAACCCGACAAGTCGCTTTCCGATGTATAGCTGCTGCTTCCAGCTAAACAGATGGAAGAAGCTCCCGGCATGAATGATGCTGATGAGCCCGTTGAGCTCATCTAATCTCGGATCGTCGGGATCTGTAATATCTCCCACCGTAAAATGGGCACCTAGATTGCTTCTGTCTTGGAAGAGGTCGTATCCGGACGATATCAGCTGAGAGCTGGAGTCGAGCCCAAATAATCGCGATCCATCAACGCCGTCATCTCGAAACTGCCGTAGCGCTTGGCCGAGCCCGCAGCCTAGATCAAGAAGAGTGTCTCGAGACCGATGTAACCTGAGCCGGAAAAGGGCCTGCTGGTAGCGAGAATCGGTGGCGTCATTCAAAGTTAGGAACTTCCATCGCCCAATAAAGGGCATTCTAGCATACGCCCATGCTGCCTCGCGCTGTGAGAACCCGCAAAGTCAGCAAAGTGAAGAAAGATGCAGTCACCGTGAGGTAAGACAGCTTACAATCTTGATCAGATGAGAGTCGATTTGCTCTGTGGGAATCCTGCTGTATCGGACGAGCAGATCGCGGATTGGCGTGATGTTATCTGGGAGGCCAGGCATAAAGGCCCATTTTTGAATCTCTAGGATGTCCATACAACGAGATGGCGGCGGTTTCCAAAGGGATGAAGTAGGGCGTAGCCACGCAAAAAAAAGGCTATTGATCACTGAATGCGAGATCACTGAATGCGAGATGGATCGGATCACCGGGGTGCAAAGCTGCAGATATCTATCTTCATCGCCTAGACGCGCAGCGCGCGGGTGTCCCTCAAGCAGGTTTAAAGAAGGCCATCCATGGTCACAGCTCGGTTTTGGGTGCCCTCCTGAACGCAGGTGTCAGTCGATGTTTGTTTGGAAATGGCATCGACGCAAGGGCATCGCAGGCATGGCGGTCCAGGTTGATGAGCTGGTAATTTGTAAAGGAGGCTTGAAACGCTTCCGAGGTACTAATACTCCATTGGCCCCGGCCCAGAGGAAGCAGGGCGCGAGGGATGCTCTAAAAAAAAGCCGGCGATGCTGCTACGCCGAGAGCGGCAGCGCTGAAGGGCTATTTGTGTCGCTATTTCTGGCTTCCCGCGCGGATAGGAGCTGTATCAAGATTAAGTGGCTGCTGACTCAGAGCGCAATGCCGAATGACCGACTATCTGCCGATAGATTGTGCAATCAGGCAATTAGGCAATTTGGATGTCCTCATTCCAGCCAGATCCGCCGGACTCTCCGCCACGGGGGCGGCCGCCCGCCATATCGCATAGATTGCAGTCAAGGGAGATTGGCTGACTCATCCTTCAAGGGCCAATCTGAAGGAGAAAAGCGGGGCCCAGATTTAGCCGAGCCTTTGCCGCCTGGTTTCGGAGAAAATTCTTTCCTCCTCCCTCTCTACTCGAAGGAGCGAAAAAGCACACCAACATCCCGTCGCCTATTCCCACGCGGCGACGAGTTATTCCTTTCCGTTCAAACGGCCCAGTCTCGCAATTACCATCCTCCGTACTCCAATGCGATAGAGTGTAAGTCAGCAGTGCAGGTAGCCCTCAAGCCAGGCACCAGACCAGCAACAAAACACTTGCTAGTAGACACGCTGTCGAGTGACAAGCTGACAATGGCTTCAGTATCAGTGTTGCATCGGCGCCAGATCGCCTCCAACCGTCGCGTAGCAACCGCGTCCGACTTTTCCACCACTTGTCGTAGTTTGCCCCAGGGCTCGGAGTGAGAAGCTCGGAGTGAGAAGCACAGCGTGCCAGCACTTCTGCCTATCCCTTGCCTGAGGCTGTCTGTCCTGGGCCTTCTCCATTGACAATTCTCATTGGCCTCTTCGCGTGGCAACTATGAGCCCGGGCCGTGAGGGTGAATCAGAAGAAGCCACTAATATGTCGTACCCATCACCAGGTGCCGAGGCCCTTGATGCAGGCCCGTTCTACCATACAGGCACTCGCGATGAAACCCACGAGCATCACGACCCTGAGGAGCACCAGCAGCCGCATGATCAGCATGACCCTAATCAGGTCCACGCCCCCGAGCAGGACCATGGCCAAGTGCCCGCACATGAGCCGTCTTCTCCCCAGCATCACATCTCAAGGCCCCCCAACCTGGAGGAGCTTCAATTGGCGGCCCAGCTTGGACAAGGCCTGGCTGGAACAGCCCTTATTCCGGCCACCGATCCCAACATGAACGTGGAGGATCCCAGCATGCGTAATATCATGCCACCCGAGCCAGACCAGCATCAAACGCCGTCCTACGTTCATGAGGCACCCGCATCTGAGCACATGGTCACGCATACGATTCCAGTTCCCGTAGGACCGCCGCTGCCACCACAGTATTCCATGGGCGATGGTATCCCTCCTCGGAAACGATCCAAGGTGTCTCGTGCTTGTGATGAATGCCGACGAAAGAAGATTAAATGCGATGCTCAGTCAGATACCGGCGAGAGTCCTTGCTCCAGCTGCGCTCGATCTTCTATGCGATGTCTGTTTAGCCGGGTTCCCCAGAAGCGAGGTCCCAGCAAGGGGTATGTATTTTGTCTCTGCTCTACTTCCTTCTCCCCTTGACTGGCATGGTGCGCTGTGTTATGCTAACGCAAGTGATAGTTATATCAAAGAACTCGCAGACAGGATACACAGCATCGAGAACAAGCTGGAGTCCGAAGGTAGCCTTACCCAAGACGAAATTGACCGACTTCTAACGCCAGGGAGCCATCGCGCTTACAACGGCTTAGCCCCCCCTGAGGAACCAGGCCGTAAGAGGACGTTCTCGAGCATATCCGCAAGCGACTTTAACGCAGCTGCTCCGCGTCAAGCACCATGGGGCCCAGAGCCACGGCCAATACTCCCGGCGCCCGCATCTACAGACACTTTTACAGGACCAGGATATGCCAACAATTCGCTGGCCCCTCAGCCTGCTGCTGTAAAGGCGGAGACAGCTCCTCCAAAGCCACCCGTTGCGTCCATGGACTCGCAGGTAGTAGATACAGAAGAAGTGCCAGAGATTGAAGAAGATTCTTTACATGAGTAAGCACCATCCTACCTCTCCAATACCTCTTAGAGCCGTGACTAACGGGCTATAATAGCTATCTCGCCCATGTCCAAGCCATCTATCCCATACTTCCAACTAGCAAAGCAAGGGTCCAGTCTTTACTTTCACAGTGCCCGCCGTCGGTAAGGACGGCATTTATCGCAGCGCTTCAAGCGATAGGCCAATCCTCAGGAGATACCCAAACTGCGAGCTCCCTTCTTCACGAGTGGGAGAGCAGTGAGGCACCGCACTCGCGCGCCACCGATATCGTCCACGCCCAGACACTTCTTCTCCTGATAATCGATGCGGACTGGCGGTCTTCGTCTCAGCTTCCGTTCCTTCTGGCTAGGGCGGTAGCGCTCGCTAACACGATGAAGTTGTGGAAATTCACACCCATTGAGTCTGCATCAGAGTCGGATTCGGACGACCAGCTATGTGTGCGGATTTGGTGGTCTCTTGTGCTTATGGATCGCTGGCATGCGGCTGGAACCGGAAAACCATCGCAGATTCCTGACAGCAGTGTTGTTGCACCGGCTGGGCTGGAGAACACCGTGGGCGAGGTGTGCTATTATCTGATTCGTAAGTTTATTCCTTTTCATGTAAGATGAGATTACTTCTTTGGTACTAACAACAGTTGCACAGGTCTATCAAAGTTATTGAATCGAATTGCATTCGTTATTTCTACCATGCAGCCCGGCACATCTACTGCTGAGCCAGCCATGGCGGCCATTCTTGTGGATTACATTGAGAATTATCGAGAAGATCTTCCGGGCCACATTGAGGCTGTATCATATCCGCTAGTACACCTTGCGTATTGGCACTGCAAGCTACTGGTAACCCTTTTGACACCCGCGGCTACACCAACGGAAACACTGTGGCCAACATCTGAGCTAGCTACTCTACTGCTAGCAAACGCACATCTCAGAAGCCCCTTTACCAATCACTTTGTATCTCTGGTTACCATGTCGTTGGCTAGGCTCGCTAAGATGGACAGCTCTCGCGAAGGCGCTACTAGACTAATGAAGGAGATTCTGGAAAAGCCCACTGGAGGCCACTGGGATACTGTAAGAGAAAAGTTGACGGAGCAGCTGAGGCCGACATCCTCAGTGGAGGCCACTGCGAGCCAGGGCTTACAGCACCTGGCAGATTTGGCGACAGCACATGAAGGCATTGCGCCAGGCTCGGACGATATCGCATTTGGTCACACGTTAGCATCGGGCTATCTAGACGTCGCTTAAAGAGAAGAAGAAGATCCCCGTTTCTCCTGGCTGGATTCCAGCCTGAGCCAAACTGACGCCCTTTTTGGGGAGGCTACTGACCAGGGTTCAAATGTATGAAATGACTGGCTTGTGTTTACCTTTTACCTCTTTTTACTCGTTGTTTGTATCTCTCCGACTTTGCGTGTATACTACTGGCCCTGTGCTCTAGCACCGGGCCCAAAAAGCGTGGGATTGGCGATTAGTGGCAATGATGGCTTTGATTGTTGATGATGCCACGGTTTTTACGCTGGCTTGTGGTTGATATTAGTATCACAGGGAAGACTGAGAGACCAAACGTTGTCTGCGGATTTGTTGTACTAGGCAGATTAATAGCAGTGTAATGAAAGGCAAAAAAAGAGGAGAGAGGCGTAGCATTAGCATCCCTCCCCCTGTGTATCAAATACATGATTCCCCATAGGTAGGGATAGTTTGATCGGTGAGGCTGAGATGGCCCATGGGGCGGCAAGGACATGGTCGTGGATCCCCCTTCCCACACCATTACTTGTTAAAAGCTGGCTGAGCTGAGCTGAGCCACTGTTCGCCTGGGCTTTGATACGGTACGGCGGTTTCATTCTGATACATCGTGTGATAGAACGCTACATGTTGGATCCAACATAAGCCACAGTCATGTAGCAAACACAGCCCAGGAGTCGTCGTAATCAAAAGTCGACTCTTTTTAACATTCACTCCATCCCCCTTTCCGGAACATATCATCTCACCCCTCTTAGTAACCACATCTACCTGTATGTCCCTGCTCTCAAACCAGATTTACATGTAAGCCACCTATCGCATACACCAAATAAGCTCTAATCCATTACGACCAGCCGGGCCACGTAACCCTCCCTATAGCCAAGCTATGTAGATGGCTTTCTTCTAATGGAGAAAAAAACGGATGCCACTTAGCTCCTAGTTTCCAGCTTCATGTAACTTGGGGAGGCTTTCCACCTTTTTTTTTTCTACGCCCAAAGATCAGCCACTTGGCATGTCACGTCTCGAACGAGACTGGCCACTTAGTATCAAAGACCTCTAAGTTGGTTTTGTCCCACCCTAGCCCTCAGCCGCCTCGCACTGTTTGTTTTTCTCCCCTCGCCTTTCTTCACCGTTTTCTTTCTTTCTTTTTTTTTTTTTTTTTTTTTAAATTAGGAAGGATATTGTCGGGGCTGGGAATACATTTCCATAGCGTATTAGCTGAGAATTAGAGAAAAATGATGAGAACAATTAGCCTTCCAGGAGATAGACAGTGTTCTACGTCAAAGCATTGCCGAGTTTCAACTTTCATCTCTCTCCATAACTAAAAAAAAATCTCCACACAACTCCGGCTATTCTTCTACCGTGGAGTCGTTTCCTCCGTTTCAAGACCAGGCTTCAGAAACAAAAAACTTTTGTGGGTAAAAAAAGCGTATACAGTACAGTACTAGCTACAGAGTAGAAAAGGCGCCCATTCATATCCACAAACGCCTAGTTTCATTCGATTCCGTCCAATTAGCCCTTCTCATCCCCCTAGTAGCCGTTCCGGTTTCTCCCCTTAGATACAGTATCTACATGTAAAGTGGCGTTCTTCCCCATCTCAGAACATTGAACGTCCTGTTATGTAATCTGTCTACTTTATTTGGGGGGCGGTGGTTTTGGTGGTTTTGATGGTTTTAGTGGTTTTAGACTTTTACACGGAGTACTTTGTTCCTGAAGCCAAATCCTTCTTATCAAGACAGTACCTGAACTACCCAGTAGCTTGAAAAAAAAGAGAAAAATCTCGATTTAGTAAAGAAGCCAAGAAACAAAACCACACAAAAAAGTAATTGTGTCAAAAAATTGTGTCTTCAAGCCCTCGCCCCCATTTTTGAAACACTCGTCGGTGTAGAGACAGATTTTCTCGGCGTTGGATGCAGGACGCCCTTTGGCACCGACTGGAAGTGGCCCCGAGCGTACAGGTCTCGAAGGTTGAAAACTTCCTAGAGTCTCTGTCTCGGTCCTCTATCGGGCCTCTCTCGGGCAAGGCGATCGATCGCATGTGATAAGTCGAAAAGCTTTGAGCGTTAGGAGCCCTAGTCATAAAATATAAGTAGGCTGCAGTGTTTAACTTGCACTGTTTGTTGGACTGGACAGTTAGTTTTACTTCCTCTTTTCGTCTGCAACGAAATCGCCACGGTAAACGTCTTTCTTAAATTAGCGTCAAATTGTGTGATGCCATTGAAAGGAACTTGTAGGAAAATGCGCCGTGCAAAGCTCAAAGCCGCCCATTTCTATTGTTGTGCAAGTCTATACCTTTAAAAAAAAAAAAAAAAGAGACAAAGCCATCACCACAAAACGCTGCGAGCATACAACTCAAGCCGAGTCCGCTCAATAGGAATCGCAACAAAACTGTCTATCTGATCCAGAAACTGTTATATACTTGTATGTGCAGCAACTCTGAACACCACTCCACACAAAAACATTGCGGATTGTATAAAAAATAGAGAAAGCAAAAAGCCATCATCATGTCCTCGTAAAGCCAAACAGACCCATTAGGTCGCCTAAGGCAGTGAGAAAAAGACCCGATAAAAAACAGGAAACGAAAAGCATCGAGACCTCCACCCAACAACGCAGATCCAGCGTCATAATGGAAAGGAAAAAAGCCCAACGACGCACCGACAAAAACCCCAGACACCGAAGCCTTGTCCCACCTTCATTGCCCACGTTCCACCCCTCCCAAGTTGCCCCTGGTTCCCTCCACCCCACATATTGTAGCCCGTGCCCCATTATATGAATTCTAGAGACGAGGAAAAAAAAGGTCGCCCGCTTGTTGTCCAAACCGCAAGGGCCGGGAGTTTCACGCGGCAAAAAAAGGAAGATATCGAGAGGCTGGCTTTCGTAGTTGAATAAGAAGCCATTTCGAAGCAGCCATCTCGATTCCAAAAAGAAGAAGCGAAGAAAAAAGGAAGTTTGATGCTCGCGAAAGTGTCGCTCAAAGATAGCCGACCGAAATAAATCAGGTACGCCCTCCAGACCACCCAAAGGCCCTTTTTTTCGATGTATATAGCGATATTTCCAACGCCTTTGTCGTTACGCGTTCAAGAAGCCAACCACACCAAGGGGGTATTCTGTACGCCATAAAAAAAAAAGTAAAAAGAAAAAAAATGGAATAAACCAAAATCGAAGAAGATGGGGAAAAAATCACATTTCCCAGTAGCCGGCTAATGAGCCAGCTCCAAGAGTATCGGAGTTGCTGTCGTCGACGGTGGCGACAGTGCCGCTGTAGTTCGGGATGTAGAAGGCGGGGTCGTCTTCGACCGTGGAGAAGTCGCCAGTCAGAGCCTGGTTGTCAGCCTTGTCGAAAAGGCTGTAGTCAATGCTGGTCAGGTCGACGTTTGCCTGTCGCAGGTAGCTGCCGCTGGTGGAAAATCCGTCGTATTCGCCCTCGCCACCAGGCATAAAGTCTTCCACCTCGGAGACGTCGCCGGATGTGGATGTTGTGCCGGCAAGCGTGGGTAGATTCTCAGAGCCGCTGCCGAAATCGAAGTGGCCGGTGAATTGCGTGCCGGCCTGGCTGTAGCTGGAGGGGGTAAAGGTGTCACCGTTGGCTTCCCTCAAATCGTAGTGGCTCCAGTCGACTGACTGTGCCAGGCTGGCGCTCAGGATGGGCGCATCGGCATCCGGGAGCCCGCTGGAGAAGAGATCGAAGCCCGGTGCGCTAACGTATGTTGCATAGTTTGAAATGCCCGATAGATCCAAGGGGGGCAAGTTGCTGTTTAGCTGTGTGAAGCTGGAGGCAGACAGCAAGGGAGATGTCGCTTCCGACTTGACCTGTCGCTGCTCGCGGCTCAGGAAGCTGTGCTGCACTGCTGCGTGACCCTCGCCGTGCTGGTACAGCAGGCTGTCGGTGCTGGCACCAAGGCTGCCGGCACTGGCGGCCGAGTTGACTCTGTTGAGCTGGTACGGCCCGCACTTCTGGGAGGCGCGGTTGTGCTTGGTGGGCTTGTGGTGGCCGTGCTGGTCAAAGGTCATGCCCATGTCGGACGAGTGAATAGTATTGGCCCGTCGTCTCCTGGGGACCGGGCGAGGAGGAAGGGTGGCGCCCTTCATTTCGCCTTCAGAGTCGGACTCTGGAACGGTGTCGAGTGGCACATCAGACTTTCCGGCACAGGTGCATCGTCCACCATGGTTGCAGCAGCAAGTCTCTGGGCGACACGACAATAGTTTAGAAGTGAGACCTTGGCAACTGGGTCGCTCGTATTCTGTAGACTCACCAACATGACCCTCGGCGGGTGGTTGCAGGTGGATGCACTTGCTGGTCTTCTCGCCGCAGTCACACTTTATATGGGCGGATCGCGACTTGCGCATTGAGCGACAGTGCGCACATTGGGAGACGGGACGGCCCTTTTTGTTGATGTGCTGGAGCGGCCGGTCTGTTGCACAAGGAAGAGCTGCAAGTTAGCACAATTGATCAATGTCTTACAACAGTTGTGGTAGTAGCAGCAGCAGCAGTTGCAGTTGCGGGTTACACGACGCATCCAACAGCTCTCGGCAACCAGGCAAAAGCAAAGTGCACTCATGAAAAACGGGCAATTAAAGACAGACCAGGGCGGCAGGGCTGCTGGGACGGGGGGGACACCGCGGGGCAGAATTGGTTCGCAGCAGTTGAGGTGACTTACTTGCGTGCTGGCAGTTGCTGACACGGTGACCACGCACACATGCCTCGCAGGCATACTTCTCGCCGTCGATTAGCATATTGAAGAGTCGTGATGCGATGTTTAGCAGGCAGAGCAGAGCAGGTGAGGGCGGCGAGGACACGGTCCAGGAAGTGATGGATTAAAAGCAGAGTTTCAAGGCCTCTGGCAGGCTGTAGTTCGGCTCTGGATCGGCGGCTCGGGGCACGGGGAAAAGGGCAGGGCCAAGCAGGGCCGATGCAATTTTGTGTGGTGCGTCTGCGTTCTGCGCTATTGCGCCGAACCTGGGGGGTGGGCGTAGAACCAGGATGGCCAGAGTGGGCACCGATGCGCAGTTGCATGCGCTACAGGCGCATCAGAAGCTAGAAAGGGGAAACCCGCCAGGTGAAGAACAACTAAGGCGCTGCTAGTCGCTGGTCCCAGGGCTAGAGCTAAAGGCGGGAGGCGATGAAGTAGCCCGTAGCAGCACAGCTGAGCCAGACGAGATCCGCCCGTGACAGGTTGTTTCTGCCGAGCCAGAGGATCAAACAGGTAGAATGTCGTATGCAGCTCCGTACCGTACCGTGGCGTACAGTAGGTGAGGACGGGTGGATATGGCGACCAGGTACTGTAGGTATAAGCGGGAGCGTGTGCTATACCTGCGTAGTGTATATACTATAAAGTAGTACACAAGTATGGAGTAGATAGATGTCGATATGGAGAAGTATGGAGTCTGGAGTAGTGGTATAGTACTATAGTCGTAGGCCAGGTACTGTACAGTATTGCAGGTGCTAATTTCTCCGGATCGGTTGTGCTGCGGCGTCTGGAAAAGCAAAGCAAAGCAAGCAAGACGCCGTTCGTGGCCCTCGGCAAAAGGCAGTTGATTGTGACTGTCCCAAAACGGGCTGATGGCGCCAAATGTCTCCAGATGAACAAAATGTCCTGCGTTATGGAAAGCCGGAATCGACAGGCGGCCCAAGAGGTTGCTGCGTTCCCGTGTCTCCCGCGCGTCCTGCTGCCAAAAAAGGACCCGGCTCAAGGTTGTCTGTATCAAAGGCCAAGCGAGTTTGGCGCCAGCCCGGGAGCCGCTAGCTGGGAGCTGGTACGAATATCGGTTTAGCCCAGGTCAGCCGAGACCTGCTCAGTGTCGTCAACCTGCAGCAGAGCAAGCGGATCCAGCCAGACAGGTTCTGCTTTGCGCGCACGCGGGTAACAATAGCCGTGGTAACGTGAGAACTGGTTGGTGGTGGTATCTCGTAGCAGTGGTAACGAAGGAGGGGCAAAATGACGGCAGATGAGGAACGGCGATGTGTAAACGGAATAGAAGAGAGACGAGGGGTGGAGGAGCAAGACAAGACGACGACGACGACGACGACGACGACGACAAAAAGAGCAACTGCTGCTGCTACTGCCGCTACTAATACTACTACTATCGAGTAGCTGAAGAACGAAGAGTAGAGGTAGATGTATGTAGATGTAAAAGCAGAAAAGAGCTCATAGAGAATGGCTCGTTAAGATATCGATGAGAGAGGAGAATGAAAAAGGCTCCGAGCGTCTCGGCGGACAGGACGGGCTGCTCAATGTGTTTATTCTTGGAAACCCAAGTCAATGCGTGTAAGACAATAGACGGACAGACGGACGAGCAAAATGGTCAGAGCGAAAGGGAAAAAAGCGGGTGGAAAGAGGGCAGTGTTTCTGTATATATGCACAAGACGAGCATCAATGCAAGTACACTCGTCGTCGTACCTACCTGTGATTAACTAACCGCAGCATGGATCGCACGTCCGTGGATTGATTAATCACTCTTGTGCTGTCAAATTGCAATGCCCGCTCGTCAGCTCTCGCTCCCTTCAGGCTCGTGCTGGCTCGGCCACGAACCGCCCATCCTGAATCAAACACTGGGCGGGCTGGCACAATGACGGTTGTCACAGCTGCTGAGCAAGGCCCCCGGGGGTGCGACTCGAGCTCTCGACTCGAACAAGGGGGCAACGAGCCAAACCGGGCCAGCCCAAACGGCGCGTGGGACGCTCTACCGATGCGGGCTTCGCTCGTACAGTGCCGCAGGACAGTGAAATCCTGCAAAGCAGGCCAGGCCGTTTCTTTGTCTTTTGCGGCGGCTCCGCTCTACCGTGCCAGAAAAGAGCAAATGATACTTCGGGGGGCGCTTCTAGACTTGGATCGCGGCGTGGCGCACAGGGCGAAAGGCGGTTAGCTGTAGTGGTTAATTGCGTTCTTGCCTGGGTGATGGTGTGCAGCAAAAGCAGGTCGCATGAGTGGGATGGTTGATGCGCGCCCGAAGAATTCCGCGCCTGGCCTGCTCAACCCGGCGCAAAAGAGACAATGATGTGCGGAGGAGCAGCCTCAAGAGAGCTATCCGTTGCCTTGCCTTGCCTCGCCCAGCCCAGCCCATCCCATCTCGAATCGCCATCGATCGGCGGCGTTGTGGTCTGCATTGTGCTGTTTTTCGCGATCGAATGGGATGGGCCGGCTTGGAGTTGGGATGGAGGCGAAAGGGGAACAAGGACCAGGACCGGCCAGCGCTGGCAGTCGCGGTACGGTACCTTGGGTACCTGCATTCCACAGAGGCAAAAGGTACGAGTGCCTTGCTTTAGCTACAAGCAGACACTGTAGGCGCAGCTGCTCCAGGTACTTGTCCCTAGGCCAGTCGCCCAAGGTCCAGCCTGCACGTCTCACTACCTACCTAAGTAAGGCGCTTGGTGCTTCCCGAGTCGCTGCCACCGGCTCCCTAGCATCCGCCCACAGCTCCAGTTCTGCATGGAGCATTCTCCGTACGTGTACATGGCAGTCTCCTGAATTGCAAGCAACTTGCTTCCGAGACGAAATGGCTTGAATGTACAAGTACTTCTGGCCTCCATTAGTAAGTTGTGCGTGTATCTTTGGTACTTACAGGTACTAACCTATAGGATTTCTCTGGGCAATGCAAACCGTACATAAACCGTCAGCAGCATCACCAACACCAATGCATGATGCATACATCCAGGTGGCGAGTTGCTGCTGTTGGGTGATGGGTTGATTTTGCTGTAGATAATACCGGCAAAGTGTTGCCCCCCTTCTCAGGTGTCACATTCTCACTGCAGCTGCGGTGCTATTATTGCGCCGTCCGTCCATACATGATGCCTACAGAATTCACATTTGCATGCGAGATTTGCATGCGAGCAAGGCTCTATCAGCAGGCATTGAAAGGCATGGGACAAATCGCATCTAACCCTTCCAACCCTCTCCCGGTTCTCCAGTCCTGATATCCCTCCTTGTATGGTATGTACGGAGAAGCAAAAGTGCTGCAATTAGACTAACGAGCCTCAGATGATCCCGCGGTGTCTGCCCGTTCTGTCAGTTCCCTTTTCTACACCAACCCCAGCCGGCCCTTTGCCTCTCCCCCATATATAAGAATGGAGAGAGAAGGCGGTTCTTGCGGTAGAGCTTGGCCTTGGCGTCGACGGTTGACACACACACCACCTTGAGGCTAGCTCATCCATCCCATGCTGTCGCTCATGGCATTGCGCCATTCTTCCGTTCCCGCCACGCTCTTTCTGTCCTCTTTCCTTGTGCCCTGCCACGGGCTACAGGTAACATTTCGTGCAGTTGACCTGATCCTCTCCACCGGAATCGTGTACAGTATGTGCCATCTATATGTACCTTCGCTATTCGCGGCATGAAAAAACCCAAGTCCCAAATAACCGTTACGTTCCGGCGGTGGGGAAATACCAATACCGCTTTGGCATTTGCTAGCACTTTGGCTCGAGGATCCCTGGGGAAATTTTCCGGATGTGCTATTGATGCTTTGCTTTGCTTTGCTTTGCTTTGTTTGAAAACCCTGGAGAATTAATTCATGCTACTGCCATACTATGTAGTAGATGGTGCTAGCATGAGTAGTGTAAGTGCTCGATCAACCTATATCCGCGGAAACCACGGGCCTGGAAAATCGCTTTTCCTTTCTAATACCGGGTTACATGTACACAGACCGCGAAATGGAACTCCATAACTCATCTTGATCTTTGGTTTTCCCGTTTCCATCCTCTATACGAAGCTCCCTCATCTGTGCAGCGAGGCAGTGCCAAGCCAAGCTACGTTGGTGTAAGCGGCCCAGCCAGCTTCTTTTTACGTTTTGATCACAAGCAAGACGTCTGACCGTTTCTTGTCCGTGCCGTCAAAGCGCGGGCGGCGTCCGTCGTTGCAGCCAAAACCCGCGGGATACTGCGAACGGGATAGCCATGATAGAATATGTCTTGCCGTGCCAGAAACTCGCCCGTGCTCTCTTATTGTGTTGTTTCGCTCCTGGGCCACCACCCCTTTGGACCGGGACTGGTGTTGGCCTTTCTTTTCGGTCCCCACCGTCATCTGCGCGTTTGAAAGGCTCATCCTCGGTCCCGTCCGAACGTACTTTTCATCACGGTAATGTGGGCAGCAGGGCTTTGTCACGTTGATTAGTACAACTTCGGCCAGGATAAGGCAAGTCCAGATAAGCTGATACGCCGTAATGAAATGAATGCACTGTATCATTGCATTCTAAGTTAGTACACCTCTAGCTGGCTGCGGGAATGTACATCAATGTCATGGCCGGGGAGAAACCCTCCGAGCGACAAAGGATTCCTCGAGCAAGTCCTGCTTCTTCTCTTTTTAGCTGATGAGGCTGTCAGGACCTTAATTCGCCTTGTACAACCACAGCTGCAGGAAACCGTAGCAACGACCGAGCTTGGCAATGTGATGGCAGGGCAAGGGACTTTGCTTGCATGGGGCGGTTTCCCATGGCTGACCGACTTACAGATACGTACTAATTGGGTACATAGCCAGCCAGACAGCCAGTCCAGTCCAATCTCCCATTGCGGGCGGTTAGAGGTGAGGACGGAATGTATTACCTAAAGATGGTTAGGTATCGTGCCTCTGGTGTAGGTAATTTGCGTTAGGTAAGGTGCTGTAACCATCCTTCCAAGGCAGCAGCATTACTTGAATGTTTTGTGCTGCGCTGTGCATGTACGTTGGCAACATGCAGTATACACATCATTTGCAAGGGAAATACTACCCAAGTAGGTATTCAGCACCTCAGTTTCATCTTCCAATACCCCAGTTGTAGCTCAACAAGGGAGTCAGTCTACATATATACGAACTCAGCTGCCAAATTCACTAACAAGTAGCGTCGTAAGGAGCAGGGGGTATAGTGGCAACACCTACAGCTGGAGTGCTGGATAACTTTTCAGGTGTTACCTTTTTCAAAGTCCTGTCTGCAGATGCAACAGTCGGCCCATCGGGTCTGAGCTCGTGGCAAGGTGCAGAGGGCAGTCGTGTGAAATGACCAACAGTACTTCGGCGCATGGCGATGCTGCTCCGCGGAGCAGAACTCAGGGGGCGTGTAAAGGGTCCCCCCAGACTGGACCCAGACCCCAATGACGTAATGCATCGCACATTCTGCTTTTCGGTCCCAGCATCCAGCATGCCCAATCGTGCTTGTGCTAACATTGAAGCTATAAAATAACAATATGCACGATGCTGCACATGCCGCCCGTCTGTGTGTGTCGCATATATAAGAATGCTACAGTGCTAATGGCCATGGTAGCAACAGGTGCTGTCCGAAGGGCCCTGCGCGTCTGCAGAAACTGGCTTGGCATGGCGTGCTCTAGTCCCAACGGTGCAAGGTGGTATTAATAGGCACGTTTAGTATATACTACAAGTATAAGATGCAGAGCGTCGATTCGCTAGGTGGTGGTGCTGGGCATTGCTAGCAGCAATTAGGCCGATAATCGCGATGAAGGCATGGACAGCATGGGGGGGAAAAGAGGCTTTGTTGCGTGGGGAACGGAATGGGCGTATCTGACTCGTCAAATGACGGCGGGCTAGGCAGCTTCATTTGGCTCTCCCCCATAGCAAATGACCAGTCTTTCTCCTGCTCCATAGCCCCAGCTTCCTTTTCAAACCAGGAGGCTATTAAAAGAGGATCGGCGCCAGCCATGCCTGGACGATTGGCTGCAACCATTCGGGTGGGCTTTTTGCTGCTGCATGTAGGGGGGGTCTGGACCGAGACTCCATAGCGGTACGAGTTCCATTCAGCACCGGTAATACTCCGTCGTATCGTATTGTATTGGAGGACAGGACCCTTCTGCAGCTCAGAGAGATTGCAATGACTAGCCACCGAATCTGCTTCTTCTCAGCTGCATATGCTGGGATGCGCGAGGCCTGGTCCCTGAAAGCAGCTGCAGCAGCGCTCAAGGATGATTGACCTGTTGGTATCATTATGATTGCGCTAACAAGGTGCTCTGCAGCAGGTCAAGGCACGGTACCTGGTGCTAATGCCCCGTTTCCACGGAGTGCGAGGATTGGCGATGCATGCAGTCGGTCAGTTATTGTCGAGTGCCATATCCAGTACCACCGAAGCCCGCTTGCGAAGGTGACAAACGACCAGCCATGCTATCTACAGTATAAGCGCATCAACGGCAGCCTCCGCCCCAAGTCTGACCGTCTCGACAAGCTCGTGACACCCAGGCAGATGATTTACCAGCTACGGCGATCATGCTAGCTGAATGTAAGCTGTGCCGAATGAAATCGACATCAGACGCGATTAGCCCGGCTAGTCGGATCCGAACTGGCAGTACCCGCAGAGAAGGAAACGAGAGGCTGTCTCAGCGAAAAGCCATCAATTGCCCAGATGGAGCCAAGGGCCGGACATGTTTCGCCGTTTGATGCAAATCTTCATTGCTGTGCTCTCCCTACTGTATGTATATGCGAGTATGCACCGCGTGCAGCGTGCGGCTGGAAAATTATGGAGCAATTTGGGGTTAGCCAAGACTGAGCAAGCAGTGCTACATAACCTGCCAAACATCTTGCCCAGCCTTGGGGGGATCAGAGCCTAGAATCTGTAGAATGACCTGAATTTGGCAGAAGGGGTGGGATGCATTGGAAGGCGAAGTGGCATTCGCACTGTACCATCAGAGGGATCGAAAATGGATCGGAATCGCAAACGCGCCATGATTGGCAGAGGCGCCCAGTATCACAAGCGCCACAACGGATCTCGAAATAGTTGATCTTTCTAGAACTATGAGCGCGCCGTCTGCTCATTGGGCGCGGATGAGTGGTCCCCCAAAGCCCAGCAGCTAAGAAACTTGGCCTTCGTCACCTTTGGGAAGCACGGCTGGGGCTCTCTTATTGTTTGTGCTTGTGTCTGGGCTTTCTACATTACAAGCGACAGCCAAGCGCCGTCTTGTATCAACCACCCCCTCCCTGGCCATTCATTTCCTCGTCTCCCACACTAGAATAGAAGAGCGAATGCATGCAAGTTTTCTGTGGCTTGTGTTTGGGGCGGCAAAAAAGGAAAAAAAGAAAAAGCTACTGGTAAAGCATAGAGCCTTTGGGCCGCTCTGGGTTGAGGCGCTGACGACAACGATCTTCCAGGCATGAATGGGCGCGCGCCATGATTACGGCCCGACACGATCGGCATCGCCCGGGAACGAGCTGATGATGAATGTGTGCAAGACATTGAGTCTGGATGCGCAAAAGGCACAAACAGGTGTGTTACCAGCTCCGTAGCTACTTGGCGATGGGTAAGCTACTAGTAGGTATAAGCTCAAGCTACCTACTGCTACTGTAAGGCAGGAATCTGCATGTCAGGTATGTACGGTAGAGTGTGTGCGGCATCCCCCTCATCTTCATGCAGGCGACAGCTTCGTTGAAGACACACTTGTTTCGGAGCTTGGGAAGTTGGGAGGCGCCGCCCAGCTGCCAGGCTGCTAGTCTAGTGTCTGCTCCGGCGCCTCCCAAAGCGCCCGCTCCAAGGGTCCTCGTGCCCGTGTAATTGGAAGCGTGAGCGCGCTCTGGATTGCCCACGATGGGTTCAATCCGATATACTACCTACCTCTACCCAAATGCTACGCTGCCCGAAACAACGGCGCCGGGCTGGAGATGGGCACGCGAACCCTTTCAGTGGGGGGCAGCCAGAGATTGCGCACATGTCTGTGACTCGATGTGACTGCCGTCGTTGGCCGGATTGCTGCTGCAATGCAAAAAAAGAGTGTCTGTCAAACGGCCCAAGGCTGTGCCTCTGCCCTCTGTCGACTCCCGTATCCAGACCTTGTGATTGGCTGGGTGGAGCTGGATTTTCCAATCACAAAAATTCCCAAGCCAAACCGAAAAATCCTGCCCCGCCTTCTAAGCGCGCTGGCCGACCACTCAGTTAAAAGCTGCTCTCTCTTTTTTTTGACTGCCGAAGTTTTTCTTTCCCTCTCCCACACACACACGGCGGCTTTTCGTCAAATGTTGTTTTTTTCTTCTGATCCAACTGCACTATGACGTTCCTCGCAACCCCTCGGCCTGCTCTAGAGCTGGATCATGTCATCCTCACATTGCAGCGCGCGCAAGGAGGGGAGGGGGTTCGGCTGCTGTGAAGCTGGGGGCGTTTTTTTTTCGTGTTCTTTTGACCTTATCGTCGAAATGAAAAAGCCCCTTCTCTGCCTTCCGTCTTTTGCAGATTTTCTGCACAATTGGGCAGAGTTTTTGCCTTGGTCTCACTTCGGGACGGTAGGTCCGAAAGAGAGACTTTACCCAAAGCCACACCCCGTCGCCACTTTATTCCGGCGGCTTCGGTAAAGCTTTTCGGAGTCGAGATCCGGGAGATTCATGAACTTGCGGACGCGGATGTCTTTTGACGGCCTCGCCGTGATTGATATCCACGTCCGTTGGTCCTCGGCTCTGTGCTTTGCTAAGAACTCTTTTGATTCGAGTTCGATGTTTTGTGATTAAATTGCTAACCTCGGTTCTTGCACGGCAACAACCGCCTGTTCTGATGCAGTAATTTTGTTTATCTTTTTATTTACTTTGCTGCCAGATATGGCGTTGCTTTTATAGCTTCGTCCATCGACATCTCCGTTCATCTCCCATTGACCTAGATGTTTTCGCACTGGCATAGAACAATTACTCGTTGCTGGGCACCCGGCTTGGAGATGTCGTTTTGTACATCAACGACAAGCCGGGAATCAGCTGTAGAAACATGTCATACTTATCACACACACTGTAGTCTGTTTCCCTTGTAGCTTCTGCTGTCACTTCTCCCTTCTCTCGCTTTTCTATGTCGTAATAGCCGTAGCCTCAAGAGTCTTCAATCCGGATAGTACGGCCCCAGCATTAAGCATCCGCGGATACGTCGTACGGCAGATCTCATCTGTACACTCCTCTCGTCTGACTCGCATCGCGACCGTTCGGCCATGAGTCGTACAAACCGTACGCGCTCTCTAGATGGGGCCTGTTTTCCGTTTCTGTGCCTTAGTCGACGAGCTACCGAGAAACTCAATTGCTGTTTTTCTGCCATGATGTCATAGCTACCTAGCTCTGTTTTTTTGCTGGTTCCGCTAGAGAGCACTTGGGTTTTAGTGCGTGCGAGCTTGAGAACGGTCGGTGAGATGCTCGAAATCGCGGTGAGGTTAGAGAGCAACCACGATGCGCTCGTGATGAGCAAAGCATACGCTCTAGATGCTATTTAGTCATGCGCCGGAAGTAAGACTAGGGAATTACGGCGCAATGGATTGCTTTTGGCTAACTTGCTTGCCTGGAGTCTAAAGCATAGTTCTGTGAATAGCAGGTGTTAGTAGCTCTCATAGCTCATTGCTATAGTACTAGATACTATAAATACAATGATAGTGCTTATGCTATCAGATCGTTTAGAATAGGGTTAACGCCCCGGTTATATTAACATATCTATATACAGTTAATGGATATCGATATATGATCGAGCTAATAGTCAATGGTGAGAATGATAGTCTTGGCGAGATTGAGATTGGCTGTAACAGCTCGTGAGAGAGCATGCCTCAACGTTTTGTGGGTTAACCATAAATCATCGTTGCTGTATACACTATGGCCGATACTGCTTTGATCTATTGCTCTATTTATCTATGGACTATTCTTGAAGATTGACGAGCATCCTTGCTATAGCTGAATGCCAAACAACGCAAAGCCAACCTTGCTGCCTGTCTCACCCTTTACAAACACGCGTATCTCTCAATCTGCCAATGGCGAGTGGCGTGCCGCTGCTTTGACAGCTAATTTTTGGATAGCTCTAGCTTGATATACGCGTATTATGTGAAGCTGCGCCGATAGTTGCTCCCTAATTTCTCTCACTCATTCTAGCGTTGACATTGATACTGTCTGCGCGCTCATCTGAATCGTGGTACCCTACCCGTCTCATTGTATATAAATACTGATTTGCTAATTTGTTAAAGCTGACATAGCTTCTAAGAAAAATCTTTTAGTGTAGGATGATTTCTATGCGTAGAGCCGTTTTGTTAGCTTCTATATAGCCCTCCGTGATCATTATGAAACAGATACTCGCCAGTAAGGCTTGGCTGCCTCGATCATGAGCTCATTGAAGTCGGAAATTTTAATAATTACCCCGAGACACAAACTCCCAAGATCCACTAAAGCGATGGGGCACTTAGCACTTCGAGATGCCGATGATGAGTGATGAAAAAAGCTATGATAGAGATAACTTGCCTAGCAATGCTAAAGAGCTTCCCTGTAAGGTCACTGCGAACATCGAAAACTTAACAAAAGCCTGAGACTAGTTCTTATAGCATTGAGCTAACCCCGTAATGTGAAAGTAATGCATGATACGTGGTACATAGCGCCAAGTGCCTGTTAAATTTGTAGGGGGCGTGCTAGCAGCTACATATGGCTGTGTCACCGGTCACTTCTCGGTTATTACTTGAGAGTATGAGTATATGTAGTAGACTTTTTGTAAATGAAGGCGAAAGAATAAAAGCACGGTATATTGAGGAAGGGATAAAGGTGAGTTTTGGAGCGCTGCACAACCAACGCATTAGACATAGAGAGTATCCCAGTTGTGAAGTGGTTCAGCATCAGACGTACTCTCGAAGTCTATGCATGCTTCTTTACTGGCCATAAGCTGAAACCTATATTATGTGAATAATTGAGTGTTCTGCGAAATCACATGGCCCCCTTTAAGTACTCATACATGCCATTTATAAAGCTTGAGATGGCTTTACCCTAGATCTTAGAGAATACATCACCAAGCCTCATCTCTACGTTACAGCCTTCATTGGCCGTGATGCTATGAGATTCTTTCCATAGTTTGCGTCGTAACATCATGTCGATTGTTATCTGTTGCCTTCAAGTCTGGTTCAAGTCTGGTCCTTCTCTACGTTCCCTAGTGCTATAGCAGTTCTGCTGAGGACCTGGAGCCCAAAGAATGGACATAGGTCGTTCGCCTCGAAAGCCGCAAACGGATGATTTCTGTCCAGAGAGGAACCGTCAAGGCTCTCTAAAGCACGAAACATTCTAAATTCCATTTTGTCCATGATATTTTCAGAGTTCAATTCCAAATATCGACTGCCTTTTCATGAGATGGCGCTAAATTTCCGCTTCAGTGAGACTTGCGCCGCTTAAAGTGACTCTCTCAATTACGACCATGACAATAAAGGGTGAATCTGAATTTGGCACATTTCTTTCTTTCTTGTTTTTGCATAAGATGGATCTGGTAGGTACGTTTACGCATCTGGGAATTAACCACACTGGTGGCTTATAGGCCCGACACGATGAATCTTAATGTTCGCGATATCATGACAATAGGACTGAGTATACGGTATCTGTATATAGCCTAACGTACTGTATTCATTATAGAGTCTCCGGTTCAGCAATGAAGTTACTGGCGAGTAATGATAATTTTACTAGAAGGAACGCATGCTTACTATCGAGAATTAGAGATTGCCGGCTTATCATGAACGATTGTGTTCGGACGATTGAGGCGCGGTGTTTCGCTCTGACTATTGAACCATCTTCCGAGCTCATCGCTTTATGAGTAGATAATTATTCTATTTATACAGTCAGGGATATCGGCCAATCCAGGGCGTTCATGGCGTTTGGCTTGTCAGGAGTAAACAATTGTGCGTTCGGGGAGAGTGTCTTCAACCGTCGCTCTTCAACAAGCATATCAGAGCATACTATCTCTACTGCAGCGGTAGTGCTTGGTCTGTTGGGGCGGAATTTCAGTTCCATCTGAGCATACTTGTACCTTGGGATATCAGTGTTCCCCTGCTGCCCTTGTGCCTGCTTGTGCCTGCCTCTGCTTTAAGCGCAGTGGAGAAATGTGCCTCAATTTGGCGTCCAATAGTGTGTATCTGAGTCTCTTCGGTGTAGTACTCAATGTTTCTGTAGGTGTCAAAAGGGCTGTTCTCCATGATGATTCACAGATCGCGGGCCATGGGCGCCCAGCTGGGGTCGAAAGGTATTTGAGATTCAGGGTTGGGCTGGAGGGTGGCTCTCTGTCAGAAATGTCCGTCATGTGCGTATCAACTACAGGGTTATGGTTCTGCTCCGTGCTGGCCGAGGCCTTGCCATTCTTATTCTCATCATTGCCGTCGTTTTCTCATACGCCATTTTGAACCACAGGATCTGGGTTGACCCAGTGGTATATGGCTAGAGGGAGGTACTGATATGTGCGAAACTCGCGGAGCTTGGTGTGCAGGTCGGCGCTATCTTTGATGGTGATTAGAGTCTTCTAGTCTTTGTTTGCCCGTTCATCCTTGTTTCCGAAGCTGAAAGCTGCTCTCGCCAATCTATCGTTCCACGCCTTCATCGTAGCCACCGCTGAGAGTGTGAGCTCGAATGGGACACCAAGCTGAACAATCTGTGCATTGTGTAGAGCCCAGATTTTAACAAATATGGGTGCGTATTCATAGATCTCAGTTCTAATAGTGCGGTTGATGTCTTATCTTTTCTGTCTGTTGTGATTTCGCGCAGTTTTTGAAGGGCCAGCTTGAGCTCAGCAAGGCGGTCTGTCTGCATTTAAATTGGACTACTATTCAATTGTCTTATACACTTGAAAGTAGGCACCTGGCAATAATCGCAGTACGTGTCATAGCCTTTGCCATGGTTAGGGTGCTGGACAATAGATCTGGAACGATGACTAGCCCTTTCTTTCTTACTGAAGCTGCAGCAGCTACGCTGGCTGTGTTCAAACCACAGCACCGGACTCATTCAACCGTGTAGGTTGCCTCGTTTTCAAAATCTCCTGAATGTCGCGGTACCCGGCCCATCCTGGCAGTTTAATCGCCTTTGCCGTGTCTGTTTGAACGCATTTCATCATTTCATCACGTATGCTCCATAGGATTCGCAGAAGGGTCATGTACAAACAACTGTCTAGACTCAACCCAAGCTGCAAAGGCCAGTGCAGCAAAGGACTGTACCTGATCTCGATTTCAAGGACCAGATGTACCTGATGAAATACTGCAAATTTATGCTCACGTAGAATCATATCTACTTGTTCGGTGCCTGTATACGTCTATAATACCAACCACCACGGTAACAAGTTGATTTAAAAAAAAAAAAAAAAAGTCTCAGATTGGATGTCAAATACTTTTCGGGAACTGATTCGATGGAAGAATTAAAGAAGCTACTTACAATACCCGGCATGCGTAGTAATCCCACCTAGCACTAGCATCAACCAGCAGGAGCAGCATTTTCCATAATTTCCAATCAACACTCAAGAAGCGACCGTTGAAATACGTAATTGAAGCTTTTCTCCGTGGAAAGTAGGATTAACCAAGCTTGATCTGATCTCCACCTCATCTCCTATGCCCTGACGTAAAACCACGTGGGAGCCCGTAAAGGGTAATCGGGCACTTGTATACGAGTTGACATAGCTTGGCAGCCCTAAGCGAGAGACGCCACGCAAGAGCTAATAGAACAACGGTAGGATATTTTCTTAGCTTTGGACAAATAATATATAACTGGGAAAAAGAATGTCAAACGTTGGCAACGTATGTCTTATTTGACAATCAGGTCAGGATGAGGCATAGCCCACACGGGACGTTTTTCGATTTTCAAAAACAACCCTAAACATCCAGTGAACAGTGCCACTAGATATGCATTAGACTGTCTTGGGCGCTGCGTCTATCATTCTTTTTTACTGTAAACTTGCTGTAGTTCCCTGCTACATAGGTCCAGTATGTCTCTCGTTACTATCAAACATGTCTTGATTGGTTATCCAGGCACACGGCCGGCAGAGGGCTTTAATTTGAACTTGATTTGAACTGCCGGTTTTGTGGACTGCTTGCCGGCAAATCATGGAAATAGCATATAGATTGCGCATGCTATCGATCTGATTGATGGCAATGTTATGCTAGAAAAAAAAAAAGTGAATAGCGAATCGGAAAATTTCGCTCGTCTGTCTCCTCGGTCAAAGTCTGAGCGAGTGACGATGTTTCGCCTCCCTCCAAAGGGTCTTAGTCTCAGTGCTTGTGGCATGGCAAATGGGATAGCACTTCTCTCAGCCAACAGATTGCGGCCGCGGGTTTCAAATTTGCGCCACATGTAGGCTTTAGCTTGCCCTTTGGCCGGACCATCTCTTCCGGGGTCTCCATCCACTCGCTGCTGACGGGGGCCATTACGGAGTTGAGGTCGATCTTGTTCCCCTGTGAAGGCTAGAGGGGGCAGAGGGGCAGAGATTGATTGAGCGGAAAGCCTGGAGACTAGAGAGAATAAGAGAGCCGCAGGAAAACTCTTCATACGATGGCTGCTAGCAAGGCTTTCGAGTTGGGGGCATCCGAATCAAGTGCTGGCGCATGTGAATGTTTGACAACTTGATTGAACGTTACTCAAGTGTACGATACATGCCGACCTAGGTAAGGTACTAGGTAGGTAGTAGTACTAGCGGGCTTACGTCTTTACCTGGAGGCACTCAATAACAGCTTGATTCATCGGCATGCAATAAACTTGCAACTACCCCTCCATGCAAGGTGACGCTATAAGAAGCTGGAGCGTGGAAGATGAAAACAAGATCGCGCTTGCTTCATCATTGCCACAACCACGTGTGTCTTTGGCGCCCGAGTTGATGAGGCCTTGGCCGAGATGTCGCCTCAATTGCTCAACCACAGATCGCCATTGCTATGCCCGCGATAAGACGGTGAGGTAATACGTTGACGCATGAATCACATGCGTACCTCCGCTGCGACCCCTCACCAGCCTCAAGCAGGAACTACTACAGCATACAGCATACAGGTATCGAGTACCTGAGCTTAGGCCCTTCCAGGTTTGCACTGCCGCCAGATGCATCGACAACTGGACCCCGGGCCCATCAAAGCAGATGCGCTACCCAGAACCCTAAATTATTTGCGGATGGCCTGCCAGCAATTGCCATTGTTTCCGCATGTGTGATTCGCAAATCCAGGTACTGCTAGGTCCAGTACCACTGTTCCCCATTCCCTGGCCTCGCGCTCGCCCCCGAGCCTGCTGGGCCCTGAAGTGACATGCACGTAAACAAGTAAAGGCATGGAAGGCACTGCTAGCCTGGAGGCGAAGATCGGCGCAGCTCTAGCGGCATCAAGTTGTCCCAACTAATGCAGCAGGTACCTGTCGCCTTACCCGCGCCGACCTTTCGTACGTACCATGATCCCATTCCAGCCTTCTCTTCACTTCTCGCTCGGATTTGGTTCTGCCATCTACATGCCCCTGGCTTTCTTGGCATCGCCTCCCCATCACAGCTCCCCATCGTCCCCTCGATCTCGCAAGCTTAGCCTAGCCTCGACCCGGTTTCCACACTTCTGACCTCACTGCTTGCTTTACTCTCGAGGATGCGCTCAGCTTAAAATCTCGACAACGGCATGTGCTTCTTGCAGCTCGACATATTTGACGTGGCACACCCTGAGCTCCAAACAACCCGAACCCTCAGATAATGGACTCGTCGCGACAGGATGCGCTGGAGAGAGCCCCAAGTGAACCCGCCTCGGCTGACGACGCCAGAGCAAATGACGACCAGACGCTCGTTTCAGCCGGGAGTACAAGATCCGAACACCGGTCGGGTTACCAGTCACCTCCTCCAACTGACCTCGCTGATCGAGTGTTTCCAATCCGCTCGGTAGTTCGCGTGGACCCTTTTACCAACGACGACCTGTTCCCCCACCTGGCCGAGGCTGACAGTCAAGGCCCTGGCATACCAGTGCACCACCTCAGCTCTGCCAACCGGACAGATTCTTGGAACGATCCTCGAAGGTTGGAGCTTGAGCCCATGTCACCAACATCTCCGTCTTCATCAGATGACCGAGCTGCTCAAATCCGCAAAAAAAGGGCCATGAGTGGGCCCTACAGCAGCCTCCAGGCGGATGCCGTCCGTCACAGCTCATCGACGCCTTTGAATTTGAACCTAACTATCTCAGATAAAGATGACGATGATGTCAAAAGCTCTGATGGCGATAGTTCTTTAGTCCCGACCGAAGTGCCTCTGAGTCCCGACGATCAGCCATTGGACGATTTCCAGCACGTTGCAACTCCTTTTACGCACATCACAACCGACGAGGGCCACGCCGTCATCACTGGGAGAGATGGCGTTTTGCAAAGATGCGAAGAAGAACCCATTCACATTCCGGGTGCTATTCAGGGCTTCGGCGTCCTCTTAGCCATGCGCGAGGAGAGTGAAGGTCATTTTGTTGTGCGATATGTTAGCGAGAACTCTCAGAATCTCCTTGGCCGCACGCCTCAGGAGCTGTTTGGGCTTGCGAGCTTCCTGGATATATTAAGTGAAGAGCAACAAGACAACCTCTTGGATCACATCGACTTCATTCGAGACGAGGATGCTGACCCTGCTACCAATGGACCAGAGGTCTTTAGCCTCTCGATTAGGCGCCGAAAAGGAATAAGAAATACAAAGCTCTGGTGTGCAATGCACATAAACCCCGCCCACCCCGATTTGATCATTTGCGAATTCGAAAGGGACGATGATCAAGACTTTCCCCTCCGACCGCCGGAAGAACAGACGATCACTGCCCCTACGGAGACCCTCAACGGCAACCCTACATCGGAGCAACTTGGAGAAAGCACAGAGATTTTAAGCAAGCCACTAAGGATTTTACGGAGCGCCAGGAAGAAGCGAGGCGAGCAGGGCGCAATGCAGGTGTTTGATATCATGTCCCAAGTTCAGGAGCAGCTTGCTTCAGCCCCTAATCTTGATATCTTCCTCAAAGTCCTCATTGGCATAGTCAAAGAACTCACAGGATTCCACCGAGTCATGATATACCAATTTGACTCTTCTTGGAATGGAAAAGTTGTGGCCGAGTTGGTTGATGCTTCCAAGACTTCAGATTTATACAAAGGGTTGCACTTCCCGGCATCTGATATCCCCGCACAGGCACGCGATCTCTATAAGCTGAATAAGGTTCGCTTACTCTACGACCGAGATTTACCATCCGCTAGAATGGTTTGCCGGACGAAAGAGGATCTCGACGTACCTCTCGATATGAGTCATGCGTATCTGCGGGCCATGTCTCCCATACATTTGAAATATTTAGCTAATATGGCAGTGCGATCATCCATGTCAATCTCCCTCAATGCTTTTAACGAGCTTTGGGGGCTGATGGCGTGTCATTCCTATGGCAATCACGGCATGCGTGTCTCATTTCCGATTCGGAAAATGTGTCGCTTGGTGGGAGATACAGCCTCGAGAAATATCGAAAGACTGTCATATGCATCGCGACTGCAGGCTCGCAAGCTTATCAACACCGCCCCAACCGACAGGAATCCGACTGGATATATCATTGCATCTTCTGATGATCTATTACGATTATTTGACTCGGACTTTGGTCTGTTATCCATTCAAGGAGAGACCAAGATCCTAGGGGCTATTGAACAGAGCCAAGAAGCTCTGATCACGCTTGAATATCTTCGAATGCGCAAACTGACATCGATTGTTGCGTCCCAAGATATTACTGACGATTTTCCGGATCTACAATACCCCATGGGATTCCAGGTCATCGCGGGATTATTATATGTGCCCCTCAGTGTTGGGGGTGACGACTTCATTGTCTTTTTCCGCAAAGGACAGATTAAGGAAGTTCGATGGGCTGGAAATCCCCATGAAAAAAAGCTTCGAGAAGGCACCGTGGGCTATCTAGAGCCTCGAGCAAGTTTTAAAACGTGGAGTGAGATTGTTATAGGTAAATGTCGCGAATGGGCTGAAGAGCAGATTGAAACTGCGGCGGTTCTCTGTCTAGTCTACGGTATTATTTCCCACCTGTCAAATCAAATATGAGAGTTAAATACTGACTTTTCCATGTATAGGCAAGTTTATCGAAGTCTGGAGAGAAAAGGAAGCCGCTCTACAAAATACTCGACTGACAAGACTTTTGCTGGCCAACTCGGCGCACGAAGTACGCACACCACTCAATGCTATCATCAACTATCTTGAAATTGCACTTGAGGGGTCACTCGATCAAGAGACTAGGGATAACCTCGCAAAGTCTCATTCGGCGTCAAAGTCGTTGATTTATGTCATCAATGATCTCTTGGACCTGACCAAGACCGAGGAAGGCCAGCATTTGTCAGTCCAAGAAACATTCGAGCTTTCTTCTTGTATAGATGAAGCCATCGATCCTTTCCGCGATGACGCAAAACGGAAAGGTCTTGATTACCAGATCACAAAGCATCCCGGTTTACCCAAATTGGTTCGAGGTGATAACCGGCGCGTTCGCCAGGTTATCACAAACGTTACGGCAAATGCGATTGCTCATACAACTTCTGGCTATGTTAACGTAGATGTTCTCGTTGTCGAGGTCAGAGAGGATCGGTCAGTGATGATACAAATTGTGATTGAAGATTCTGGCTGCGGCATGAGTCCTCAACAAACAGAAGCCCTTTTCCGGGACCTTGAGCAAGTTAGTACAGAAGGATCGGCACTACAAGCGGCAAGTGGTGAAAAAGACAAAAAGATGAACACTTTGGGACTTGGTCTAGCCGTCGTGGCTCGAGTCATCCGAAACGCAGGCGGCCAGCTAAGGCTTAAGACGAAGGAAGGTGAAGGCTCGCAATTCATTATTCAGCTACCCTTCCAACTTCCCGACGAATTACCAGATGCAGAGGGCGCTGGATCTACCCATAGCGCTATCTCTTATACCTACGAACTTTCGGCAACCAAGTCGCTACCCCTGGCGCAAGAGAACGAGATCTTGCTGGTCGATCACAGTAAAAACGCGATGACAGATACGATTTCCTTGGGACGACAGAGTCTTGATAGCCGCCAAAGTGCTATCAGTCAAGATGGAAGCCAGAAAAGCGACGCGGACCGCTTAATTGACGCCATTAAAACTCCACTTTCATTAGACAAAGCGGGAGACAAAGATAGTGAATATTTCTCTGCCAAAGCTCATTCGTCAACCGTTTCGAACAGAATTAGCAACACGAGCTTTGGAAGCTTCACAAATTTAACTGCTCCTCTAAATGAAACTCCTACCCAAAAGATTTCTGACAATTATAATGATGAGGATCTTGGCGCCTCCAAGGTTCGTGACTCGAAGGTACCAGTTCGAGCAATCAAGGTACCAGACGAGTACATAGATATACCTTCTTCTTTTAAACCCGAGAAGAGGACGGCGGGAGAGATTTCCGAGGTTGATACCGATGCAACCGAAACGAAACGCCGGCCTAGTTTGGTCAGCAGCACTACGGCAGAGAGTAACGCGTTACACGTACTTGTCGCAGAAGATGATCCCATCAATATGAAAATCTTGAAAAAGAGATTAGAAAGAGCCGGTAATAGCATCCATCATTCAGTAAATGGACAAGTCTGCGCAGAAACATATAGTGACAACTCATCTGCGTTTGATGTTGTCCTGATGGATATGCAGGTAAGCAGCAGTCGTTTTCCGGTCACTTCTGTTCCTTCTTCAAATGCTAATATCATCTTTCAGATGCCTATTATGGATGGCCTCACCAGTACAAAGACGATTAGAGAAATAGAAACATCTGAAAACAAGGGTCTTTCGCCGATGGCTGCGAAATGCGGCCGTATTCCGATATTTGCCGTATCAGCCTCTCTAGTGGAAGAGTTGAAAAACACTTACGTCGAAGCAGGCTTTGATGGATGGATCTTGAAGCCGATTGATTTTAAGAGATTGTCAACACTTCTAAAGGGAATTTATGATGCTGAAACGCGAGATTCATGCATCTACGTCCCTGGGGAGTGGGAAAAGGGTGGCTGGTTTACAGAGTCGACCAAAGAGGTCGTTGTAAGAACTGATTGAAAAAGTAATGATGCTAACGAAAGTTTTCTCTGTGTATAAGGATTATAGGCAAATGTAGGTATATGAAAACTTGTGGGCGTTGGGGTGTTGCGATGAGAACTATTTTTGTTATTGTTCGCCTTTTTCATGAATAGCTTTTACTTGGGCGATAGACGAGCCATTATAGATTTGTTTTTGGGGCATTACGGCAGTTTGGTCATACACGCCGCGGATCGAAGGGAGGAATGGAAATTAAATCATGGCATGTGGTATTTGGCAGGTATATGTATTGCTACGGCGCTTTAGCTGAGCTAGGGCATAATAATCCATAATATGAGATGTAATGAGAAGATGAATTCATTATGAAGATTATCCATTTTGCAAGCCATTGACGCGAATTTTGGAATTCTGCTAGTCATTGCCTTGTAAGAGTTTGCGTCATCCCGTGTATGCGTTGTTAGGCATTTCCAGTGGTAGGCTTGAAGAGAAGACTCTGAAGCTCTGATGGTATAGCTTCTTTAACTGCAGTAGAAGAAACGAAAATTGCATAGACTGGAAGACATGGACAGAAGATATGCCAGCGTGATAGTGTTCACACGCATACATATGAGTTAGACAAACAATATAGGCAGTGCTTGAGCAGAGAATCGATAGTAAAGGGTCTACATGTAATTCATCTTCATGATTGGGGAAAATAAAAAAGAAAATGGTATCTTTTCTAGGTAAATACTAAAATCGAGACTTTCTATCTACGGAGCTTTTTAGATTCAGCAGAAATCCCCCTTTTACCCGACACGATATAAAGAGAACAGAAGAAGAGAAAGTCAATGAACCATATACGTGTAAATTGCAAGTCATATGACCAACCCCTTCACTTCTCCAAAAGAGTCAACACCTGGAAATATAATGAAGGTAAGAATAGGAGCTCATTCACTGTGAGATCCAAAAAAATAGAAATAAAAATATATGTGCGAAAGATTAAAAAGAAAATGTTGTGACCAAGATAAAACGCCGTATATCAGACAATAACACCGACATTACTTCCTAAAATTTCAACATCCTCTTCACTAGACCCGGCTTAGCTTCGTGGTTCTCCTCCTGAATGTTGTGCTGGCCAACGATGCCCAAAAAGACTTGATCGAGCGTCGTGGTGCTGACACTGTAGTGCTCAACGCCGAGACGAGCCTTGTTCTCTTCAAACAAGACTATGAGTCGTCCAATGGCGCCTTGGCTGATATCACTGCCAATGGGCGTCACATCATCGGCACTTGAACCGTTGTTCAAGGACAGAACCTCGCTCGAAAGGACCGAGAACCGTAATTGTCCGTGATACATCTTCGACTCAAGGTTGGCTGCGGGCAAAGTGTCGCGAATCCATGACGTTATGGCATTCATCTCTTCGTCTGTCGTTCTGGGCGCTGTGCTCGACACAAGGTGTACATGCAAAGCATCGCCGAAGCGATGTCGCAAATCATCAGGAGTGCCGAGAGCGAGCATCCGTCTGGCTAGAATGCCAGCACGACCCGCCAAGGCATCGGCCTCTTCCATGCTGTGCGTTGTCAATAGGATGGATCGTCCAGCAACTGTTGCCTGGAGCGTCTTCCACATGACTCGCTTTGCGGCAGCATCTAGACCTGACGAGGGCTCATCGAGCAAGACAACTCCCGGATTGCCCATGAGGGCAATTCCCAGACTGAGCTTGCGCTTGTTACCGCCAGAGAGAGCAGCTGCCATGCGTGTTGAGAAGGAACTGAGACCGACGGCCTGTAAGACCGCAGTAACATTGTGCTCGATATCAGGGATACCTCGAACCTGAGCGTAAAACTCAAGATGTTCTCGGACCGTCATCTGATCCAGAGCGTCGATTTGGGGACAGACGCCAAGATTTGCTCTTGCGCCTGCTAAGTCCTTCGTCACGGACACACCTTCGATAAAGATGTCGCCGCCGTTCAAATTGGGCTTGAGATCGCCCCGGACCAGCGATATAGTAGTAGACTTTCCAGCTCCATTGGGGCCTAACAGAGCAAAAACCTCACCGCGCTTAACGCCAAAGCTAACGTTATCCACAGCAAGGTTCTTGCCAAATGACTTGGTCAAATGCAAAATCTTTAGGCCATCGTCTTCTGCGGAGTTTGTGATTCTGGCCACCTCATCGCCCACTTCCTCATCGGGCAGGGCGGAGTCTTCTGGGTGCTTATGGCGATTAAACAAGGCTCGCGCAGAAGACCCTACATTTCCACCGTCGAACCAAAGTAGAAGTCCAAATAAGATGAAAGATTGGATAATAAGATAAAGGATGGGTCCTCCGTATTGTTTGATGCCACCGGGATTTGTAGCAAGTTCGTTGCCATCGCAAGCAGTAGAGAAGAGGTTGGTTGCTAGGAAAAGAGCCCTGGTTGCGGAGCCGATAGGCATGAACGCCGAGATCACGTAATGGCAGACTAAAAGAGTGCTGTCAATCTTGGAGACCTCGACATACGTGACGACACAGACGTAGGCGATTAAATAGCCGAGGAAGAACACCGCTTGTAAAGCAGCCGCCCAGGCAAACGTGGCAAGCTGAGATTTGGTGAAGAGAGAGACAAAGTAGGCCACCAAAATGGAAGCCAGGCCATATAGGAAGAGGACCACAAAGATGTACTCGACATGGAACCAAACTTTCGATAGCCCGGCCCATAGAGCGGTAACAATTGCTGCCCCAACAAGAGCCATGGAGAAATCAAATATTAGATAGGCCATCCATAACGGAAAAGGCCTGACGCCATTAGAATACTGCAGACTGCGCACAAATTTCCTGCGTTCGTTGCTTGGATACAGCGCGAAGAATGCGGGATAGCAAGAGAGTGCCAGGCCCATATAGATGACTAAATTCAAAGCCTTGCCAATTGTAGGATTGAAAGGGACATCAAAGGAGGACCATGATGTTGCAATCGTAGTGTTGGTCAGCAAGACGTCGAGAAACTGCTGCGCCGTGAGTGGACTCGTGACGAACAGGTTAGCAACCCAAGCAATAGTAGGGTTTGTGGTACTATCACCGAGCCAAAGACCCGTAGTCACGTTTGCGTAGTTGTCTTTAACAAACTGATTAAATTCATCAAACGAGTCAACAAGGTGTAGGTTGCCAAGAGAAGCCGCGGCAATGTTGAAGATCGGACCAGGGCTACCAGCAAAGACGGGTCGAAAGAGACTTTGAACTCGCGATAAGTCGAACTTGTTAGATGGTCCGGCAAGGAAAACAAGGCTGTCTTCACCGCCAATTTGAGTGAAAGCATCTTCTGTAGCCGAGGTCGAGGCTTGATCGCCGGGTTTGCAGCCTGTTGGTCCACTGTCTTTCACAAACAGAGATGTCAATCCCGCTGCGGCAATTGGGAGTAAGAATGCAATAGCATAGAGAACCCAATTCCTCTTTAGAATCGTCCAGCGCTTCTTGAAAAGAATAAGAGCTTGTTCGAAATATCCCACTCGCCTGCCGTCAAGTAACTTGAGGCCAAGGCCCGGTTCCATCGGGGGACTGCTGGTGTCTTGCGAAGAGCTGTTGTCATCTTTGACTGGCATTTTTTCAACAATAGTCTCTCGGAAGACTTCTTCATCCTTAATCTCCTCGGCAACCTGCAGAAACACATCTTCTATGTTTGGGCCAGAGAAGCGGAAGTCTGTGATGTTGGCCTTTTGAAGCGCTTTGATAACCTGGGCCGCTAGGCTGGACGTAGGGGCAACATAGGTAATCAGGTCAAAGGCGTCCTTTTTCTTCACACCATCAATAATGGGAGACTCCTTGATGCCTGGGTTCTTGTGTACGTTAACCCTATAGCCGCCTCCAAGCTTATCTTTCAATTCGACGGAAGAGCCTTCAGCCCGCAGTGTTCCCTTGGATAGAATGGCAATATGATCGGCAAGGAGGTCAGCCTCATCCAAGAAATGCGTAGTCAGAATCAAAGTCCTCTTTCCTCGCTCGGCCAAAAGAATGTCCCAGAGCTTCCGACGAGACAGCGGGTCAATACCGCTGCTCACTTCGTCCACACAGCAAACAGCACTTCCACCTGCCAACATCATTCCAAGCTGTAGCTTTCGTTTTTGGCCTCCAGATAGAGTTTTGGCACGAGCCTTTCGTTTGGGAGGGAGGTCAATGGAATCGATCAACTCGGTAATTTGCTCCTTAGTCGCTGGCGCATTTGGTGACTTGAGTTTGTCGAATATGACGAGATGCTCTTCGACAGTAAGGTCGTCCCACAAGACGTTCTTTTGTGGCGCAATACCCATACCACCCTGCCCATCAATTGTAATCAATCCACTGGTTAGTTTATTCAGACCGGCAATTGCATCGAGAGTTGTACTTTTTCCACTTCCATTGGCACCCAAGAGAGCCACAATCTGGCCTTTCCTAACACTAAAACTGAGCTCGTTGACCGCTACAACAGGCTCCTTTGGCTTAGATCCCAGTGCAAATAGGCGCGAGAAGAAGCTGGGCTTGTAAATTTTGGTGAAGCCATCCAGCTGGATGGCATTGTCGCCAAGCCTGCTATCTCCAGCTCCCAAGATCTTGCGGCCGTCTGTTGAGGTACCGTAAAATCGGTTTTCAATGAGTGCAGCGAGAAGGGGGTATACAAAAATATGAACTATTAAGAAGATCCAAAGAGCAATACCTGGAAGATCCCAAGGGCTGCCTGGGGCTGTCTCAACAAGATTGGTGGGTCTGTCTTTCCTCTCAAAGCGAGACATGAGCGTGATAAAGTAGACATAGGCACACGGCGAGAAAAGCAGCGACAAAATCACTACAGGTCCCGTTGTCGGCTGTGTCAGAGACTGTGCCAAGATGCCAAGCAACAGAATGGCAAGAATAGCGGTAATACCGCTGAGCTGGGCCTTTTTGAAGAAGGACGCAAACAAAACAGACATGGAGGCAATGGCAAGACCAGCGGTGATGTGGAAGAGAAGGACAATACCAAGACTGGTGTACGCAAATACAACGTATTTCACGATGATGGATCCGATAATCCACGCTGGAGCATATATGATGGAGAAGGAAAGGTGATGAGAAATGATTCGAGCCGCCAGCGCCATCCAGGGTTTGCGAACAGGCATCATCGCATCTACAAGCTGCGACATGCCAGTCTCACGCTCGGTAGCAATGTGGCCAGTCAAGTGGTATGAAACCCAAATCACAGAGGCAATAAAGGCGACCCCCATGAAGCTTGTAATGGCCTTGTGGAAGATTTCCCTCACTTTGACTTCTCTCTGTTTCTGACTCATGCTGGTGTAGGGCATCTCCTGGGTCTTGGCGAGGGCCTGAGGCGCGCTGGTGTGGTTCATGCCGGCAATGATGCCGTCGATAGTACGCTGAATAGGCAGCAGATAGACCTCTTCCGGATTATCGCTCTTGTCAATATTGATCTTGATTGGGCTGCTCGTCATCTCGGCATCCGTGCGAATGGTATAGTTCCATATGCCCCCCTTTCCCTCGTTTGGCGAGGACCGCATGACGACAGCCCCAAAACAAGCCGTGACTCCCCGCAAGCTACTCCGACACTCAGTGAGCAGAGCATCCTCGCTGCTCGTCCTGACAACATCGACGTGAGGCCCCTGCGTCTCTATTTGCGATTGGAGCGAGTCTAGCACTTTCTCGATATTGCCCCCCGTGAATCCGTTGTCGATTAAAACGATCTTGTCTCGCCCGCTGCCGAAAGCGTCGTCGAACGCCTGCGAAAGCGATTTGATGGGATGTACCGATCCGAAGCCATAGAGCGCAGGCGGAACAAACAAGTTCTTGGCGAAGCTGAAGAAGGCGGCCAGGATGATGGGCACGAGGAAGGCCATGACGAAGACCTTTGTAGGATGGCGGAGTAGTATATGTCGAAAGTTCTTGGACATTAAAGTCCAGACCTGTTTGATGAACGCCATGGCGACGACAGGCAAGCTCGATGGCCGTGAGTTATGGGGAGCGTAATCGGATATCCCCTGCGATACCTCTGCGCTTCTGCAACATGAAGTACCTAGAACCCCAACTTCGAAAGAGAGTATTAGGCGCACACAATACGCTCACCAGTCACACACCGCCGAATAATGAAGATACAGTATAAAAAAGAGAATGAGAGATTAAGGATTAGAGGCTGCGTACGTCGCCTCTGCGACCCGCGCGCAAAGGGCTAAGCTCGTACTGGCGCTTCAAGTATATTCTCCATCAGATGGCGTGCGGCCTGAATGCCTAATGGTGACAACGGAAGAAGGCAGAAGCAGAGGCGAAGCGCCGAAAAGCCGTGGCGTCAGAAGTCGGCGGCACTCAGGGCTATGCGAAGAAGTCAATCGCGATGAATGGGCCGATGCCGTGCCTGGCTTTCTTTCGTTGACGATTTGGAAAAGACAGGCCCCATACGGAGTTGTCTAGTGAGACTCGGCATTGACCAGGGGGGGCAGTTCTTCAGTGCTTGGCCTAGCTCCTGTTCCTTGACAGATCTGCTGCAGCTCCTTTCCTCAGCCGATGATGAGGATAACCCAACAGTGCCTCTGTAAACAAAGAGATGAAAAGAGGGAAATACATCTGCAACGCCACCCGGGCCATCGCGCCGTACCGAGTTCGCTTGGCTTGAACGCCTCAATAAAGGCAAGACCGAAACGGAGCAGCTGTTGCGCCCTTGATGAAAGTCAACTGGCCTAGTGGAAGGAACACTCCCCACCAGCTACTTACGCGGAGGGTATACGCGGACGCTAGAAAGACGCCCGCGCCTCGGGAACTCAGCCACGGGTGAGAAAGTATCCGAACAGCTATCGGGTTTTTGCTATTACTTGTAGCAAGACATCTCGTTGTATATAGATATATATAGGTACCTACTCAATCAATACATACATACCTACTTCATTGATAACTAATCCAGTGAGTTAATTTAATCATAGATTCAGAGCAGTGAGCAACCCAAAGCTGAGCATGTCTACTAAGTAGCTCCACCCTACTCGGGCTTAAAAGCCGGAGCTCTTTGTTACACCGACAAACCCACCTGTCGATAAAGCCATCACAAAAGCCACGGATTAAGCTTTTAACGTCCACACCAGCTCGCGGATCACACTGAGATAAATAAATAAACATTGAAGAGATAGATAAACATATAAGGCTATCCGCGTATCTGCTGGTTAAATTTTAGCAAAGAGCTCAATCTTTACTGTCAGCTCTTTAATTCCTCTTGAGCTCTGGACCGGGATTCGGGAAGACGTCCATCCGACTTATATTGCAGCCTGCGCGTCCCATTTTGCTCAGCCTCTTCTTCTCTTTTTGCCCTTGTCTATTGCTATATGAAGCGAATGGGCATTGCTACTCGAAAGGGAGTAGTTCTTTCACACTGAGGATGTCCATGCAGTGGAAAACAAATACCGCCGGTCCGCTACTATGCATCTGTGTGTGATAGAAGGCGGTGTTTTCTTTCCACCCCTTGCATGTGTACCTATACGCCTTGCGCAGATAGGTACTTGTTGTACTCTGTAAACGATGAGAACAAGAATACAAAGAGACAAACAGACAGACGGGCTTCGCTAGGAGTTCCCGAACCTATTTAAATTGTCCGTGTTCATGTTCGAGGTAGTTCCATAGGCCACCTAAAATGAATGGCCGAATTAATCTTCAGAGCTGGAAAATCAGAAACGTACGATGCACTTTATTAATAGCCGAAAAACTAGAATCAAGCCCAAGATGCACAAAAGGTCAAAGTATATTAGTATATATAAGAGAGTCACATGGCCAAGTAGTCCATTCATCACTCAACCAGAAATCCACCACCCCCTTCATCAGCATCATCATCGCCAACCAAAAATCCACCTCCTCCGCCGTCTTCATCCTCCTCATCAACCACCATGTCAAATTCTTCAGTCTCATCACTTTCCGCACCCTTTGCCCATGCTTCAAATTCTGCGTCTCTATCCGCCTGCCGTCTCTCCTCCTCTCCCACCCCGCTCCATACTCTCTCCCGAATCCTCAGACCCATGAGAAACCGCCTCCAGAGCTTCAGCGCCACGTATCGCTTCTTCTCATCTTCCACCTCTTGTTCGATATCGAGTATGCCCTGGATGCCTGCCCGAACAGCCTCTTCAAACTCTTTTGCAATGACAACGCCGCTCAGCACAGCCGTTCCTGTTCGCCCCTTGAACTGAAACCCTGTAAGTGCCGGTGCACAGTCAATCCCTAAAACGTACGCCGCACGTCTAGCGTGTTCGTCTACGATGTGAACACCACCTTTGGGGACCATGCTAGGTACATATACCTCGATGTTTCCAAACTTGTTTTTCGGAACCCGTCCATTTCGTACCGGGGCTGGCTCATATAGTTCGGTTTGGTCTATAGTATAAATTGGAGTTCCAGCATCACCGTCGTCGTCTTCTCTTTGCTCGTGTTCGCCAAATCTAGACCTCTTGCTTATCACTCGTTTGGGTAGCCACTTGGCGGGAATCTCCATGGGCTTTACCTCACGGCCAAGTCGAAACCACTTTTCGGCACTCCTTGCGACCCGTACATCCTTTCGACGGAAGACCTTTTCCAGCGGAGCTCTAGCTCCGGCTGCGACCGTTCCAGACGGTGTAGCTCCCGGAATGAGCACTTCATGTCGGCGAAGGTGGCGCTCTAAAGCATATACGGGATGGTCTTTAAAGTCCTGCACGTTTCTTGGCATTGGCTCTCTCGCCTCGACTCCAGCTAGCTCATTGTCTTCGATCTGGTCCAGATCGCTGGGAGTCTTGGGCCGAAACATCTTTATAACCTTATTCCACCACTGTCTACCATCGTCTAGCGCAGTTTCTATGCGCAATTTTCGAGTCTTCGCTGTATATGCCTTCGCATATCGTCGGGTAACGTCCTTTGCAGTGCCATCTGCGTTGAACGCAATAACGTAGCTCAACGAATTCTCCTTATCCGTAATGGGAGGCTCAAAGATCTTTGGCTTCCAGAAAGAATTCATCACAACCGGATCCGTGGGCTGCCATTTCTGGTGCCCAACATCTAGAATTTCCACCCAGTATACCGGATAAGGGGACTCGCGTATTCGTTTAGGCGCCTCGAATGATTGGCGAGCCCGATAAGGAGCTGCTTTGGGCTCGAAGTTGTAATCTGATGCGTTTGGGTGTCCTAATCTGCGCCTAGCAGTAGAGGGGCCAGCAGGAGAAGCGGCTGAAGAGACAGCGTTCGCCATTTCTCTGTACTTTGCTACCTGTGATAGCATCTGTTCGGTTTTGTTGGGAGCCGCTTTCGGCTTGAGATTCTCTTTAGGTTTTGGTAGTGTAGGTCCTGTGGAGCCAAATGATAGAGGTTGTAGCGAACATACAAGCCGCGCACGAACACCAATACTTCTCAGGAGGGCACAATACAACTGAGCTCCAACATCCCGCGAGCCTTGGAATGTCTTGGCTGCTTCTCTAAAATCAGATTTATCCAGACATGATTCCAAATCACTGGGAGGCTCATACTAGAAACAATATCAGAAAAATATGGGAGTCATCAGGAACAAAGATACGTACGCTATTAAGATGCTCTACCTCCTCCGCCCACAGTGACCTTCTCATGCCACGCTCTGTAATCTCATATTTTGTCGTCCACATCTCAGCAACTAGCTTCAGTCCATTTTTAAGGCTTTCAGTCCTCCCAAATTGCGATAGATTCGTCCCTGGAGTCAGATACTGAATCATCTTGTCTGTCAGGTGGGACCGAAGTTGACTTTGAACTTGAGGATCATTGCACCAGTGATTTCGCCTCGCCACATGAGATAATAAACATATCAAGTGAGCCTTGTGAATATCAAGGCGGCGCTCTCGTTCTTCTTTGGTGATGGGTCTTCGTCTATCTGCAGCTTGCTTCGACGTCATTGCAGACTTTTGTGCCGAGAGATTGAGCTCCAATTCCTTTGGTTCTTGCGATTCAGAATCTCCGTCTGGTAGGGGCATCATCAAGTCGACAGCTTCAAAGCGCAAATCTTCATCTTCGTCATCTTCATCCTCATCTGACCCAAGCTCGACCGTTTGGATAGTAGGCTCGGGAATAGCAACATCTTCAAATTCCGCATCATCGTCATCCTCTTCATCCTCTTCGTCGAGGCTCTTTCCCTGAATAGGGTTTGAAGTCGAAGCTATGGCTATTGGCGCTGGAGTCGGCTCTGCCGGTTTTGATGGCTTACTATGCGACGGAACATCTTCACGTCTTCTTTTCAGTGGCCTTTCTGGTGAGCTTGCGGCCGGCGCAGCAACGCCAGCTTCAGCCAACATCTCTTGATATATATCCGGCTCATCTCCGCCAGCGGAATTCGCCTGTTGCCGGCCGCCCCTTTGAGAGACGTTGCGCTTCCTTCTGACCATTCTCACAAAACATGATAAGAAGTTGGCGTTAATCCAGGTTTACTTACACCCGCGATCTCAGTAACTGCGTCATGGGGGATCCACACGAGTGGCGGCGCGAAATCACGTGCTTCTTAAGGAACGATGACTAAGATCTTTTCTCTGTGCTTTGGGCTTCATCGGGGATCGTGAAGAGAAACAACACGATGGCGTTGTAACATGTATCTCTATTTTACATCTTTAGGGTACGGCTATTGACCCTCATCAATAAATTATAATTTGGCAGAATGAGACGAAGATGATACCTACCCAGATTTCGCTTTTCTCTCTGGAAAAAAGCCATCGCCTTTTAAGTGGGAACATGACGACCCTAGTGATTACTCAGGAAGGTAATTCCATGTTATATTGCGCAAAAGAACAGAAAAATATACAACAGCATAAAATCTACTAGGATATCTATCACTGATAAACCCAAATAAACATACTTCCTTGCTATCAATAAATCCAGAATTCCACAGTGACTTCTTGGAAACTCCATAATCACTCAGTCAAAAGTTAAGAACGCAACACAGAATAACTCCATACAAGCAGAACAGAACCAAAAAGGCCACCACGATATCAACGCCATTCAATACCATTTACGCCCTTCAAACTCATTTATTTTGTCAACCAGCCCAAATAATCAGCAACGATGAGAGTTACCATACTAGACGATGATCAGTTACCCGAGCCTCAACTTATACGTTTCTTGTGGGGAAAGGTTGTCAAAACTTACGCATGAGGGGCAATGCGGACATAGTACGTTCCGAATCCTCGGTAAAATCTCAAGACGCCCTCCTGTTTGGCTACCTTGGTGAAGCAGTCGGCCATGCTCTTATACGGAAGCTTGCCATCGGGGCCCTTTGACTGCTTCTGCAATCTCGTCTTGACAAAGTCGAAAGGAAGACTGAAGAAACTGGCGAAAAAGCCCGCAATAGCACTGGCGCTAAGGGTTTGGGCTCGAGCAGACAAATCCGTGTTCTTCTTCATCTGGGCCTTGGCTTCGCTGAAGAAAGCGAGCTGGCCAAAGTTGAGAGCCATGGCACGAACCACAGTTGGTGCGGCGCCAGCCCAGAGAGCAGCGATACCCTCACCCTTGGCGATCGATCCCAGAGCATCTACAACTGACTTGTAGTTCTTGCGCTCTGCAATGGGTTTTAGACCATCGCTTTGCATTCGAATAAGAGCCAGGTCGGCCGGGTTACCAAGCATGGCTGCCAAACCACCAGCTGCCAAACCAGCAGTTGCGCGATCTGCGAAGCCAACACTTCGATACTGAGCCTTTGCCCGTTCTGATAGTCTTGCCATGAAAGTGTCGAAGAAGCCAAGTCGAGCGGTTGTGTATACAGCTTGTCGAAGGAGACCAGCTGAGAGACCAGTGTACAGGTCGAGAGCCTTTCCACTAGAGATAATCTGTCGAGTGACAGATAACGCAGTTGGCTTTGGGCCTCCAGTGGTGCCTTCACCGGCAAGCTGAATGCGGACCTTTACCATGTCGACCGGCTGGATCACGGTAGTGGCTACCATTCCGCTGATGCCTCCATTGATGAAGGGCAGAGCAGCTTTCATGTATGGAGTATGGATGATATCAGATGCCTTGGCAGCCGTCTCACTTCTCTTAACGGAGTTCATGACGTCTGAGGTCCTTGACCGGACGGTCTCTGCTGCTTGTCTGATGGAACTCATTGTGATGGTAGCGAAGAGCTAACTTATAGATGTTATAGCTTTGGTATTTAATCTCAGGTAGTCCGGATCGGAACACGCCAACGGAGGACCCTGTCTGTTTTTTTTTAACGACTATGGCATATTAGTCAAGTCCAAGAAGCATCGTTATTTGTGGCATTCCGAGCAACATTATGAGTGGTATAATAGGAGGCACAGGGTATAACCGGTGGAGTAGAGGCATTAGAGTCTCGATTCGGGAGTCTGTGGTCCCCGCCATCGGTAACTTCTTCTCCCTAAGCTCAACGGCAGGCCGACAGGAGCCGGGATGATACCCGAGCCTGAGGAGCTTGGGGGGCTTCCGATCGGGAAGTCTAGGAGTGGGTTCAAAGTGGCTCCGCTAGCCGTCGCAGATTGGCGGGCGGACAACAGCTAACAAGAGGAGGAGAGGAGGCCGGAAACGAAAGCGCACTCACCAAATGACTTTGCGTTTAAGTGTTCCTTTGATACTGGATTCTGTTGAATCCAATGCGCTTCCTATCGAGCCGTGCACACGAGGGCCGCCACCGGTGGGGGAATGGGCGTTTAATGAAAGCCGGGGATTATGATTATGGCGTTGAGAGTGGGGCGACAGCTTGAGTAAAGCTGATATCCAGATGCCTTGCCCAATGTTGAGAAGAAGTGATGTTTGCTAATTCAGCAATTCAACGGTGTGTTGAGCCCGGAGTTGGAATGCGCCAGGGCGAATGGTTGAGTGATTGCGGAGCACAGATCAAGTGTGAGACGTGATGGGATTCAGATACACACAGGATGAGACCCGGCGTATACAGCACTGCTTGCGCAAAGAGATTGAGGCGATGAAGGAGAAGGGAGACGAAACTGTCACGAAGGTTGCTAGGAAAGTTTCAAGAGGGAAAAAGAACAGAGCAACAGGTCGGTCGAGCATTTAATATTTAGGGCAAGCCGTGGCTGATCATAAGCATGGCAATCGCTTCTCGTCCACTGGCGACCCTCCATCATGTGGCGAGGAGACGCTCACCGTGCGGAGAGGCAACCGCGTTGGAGAGGAACAACAGCCTCTAGGCTCTCGGTATCCCGGATGTTCAATTGCGGGGGAAGCATATGATGCATCCCCAACTGGCTACGGGGGAACGGCCACCAACGTGTAGAGCGTGCCAGCCGTGCTAGTCATTGCCTGTGCCTTGCGTGGCGCTGCGCCGGCACAATGATGCCAGCCGGGACACTGAGTGCGACAGCTCATGCCTCAGCACGATTGGCCGCGATGGAGCGATGATGAAGCCAGCGGCCGCGGTGGCAGTTGAAAACACATGGTGATGCGAATCTGATACTTGCGGCATGCACCTTGGTAGGCCTACATGCGCTGCAAAACCGGTTTGGGCGGCGTCAAAGGGTCCAGCGAGCTCCTTACTGGAACGCTTCCTTCCTTGCAGCCGGCTTTTCTCCAGTGCTACTGTACTGTATGCGATATTACGAAAGAGCTTGCAGATAGACGTATGCGTCAGATAGGCCTGTTGCTCAGCTTGGCTCCAGCCCTTGCTCTTACACGCTCGTCGTGTGCTGTCGAGCATCATCAAACACGCAGCGACGGATGCCAAATCAAACACCGATTGATCTTTTCTTGAAGCAACGACGCCTGTAAATCATCGCTAGTGCTCTCAGCACACGAGAATCCTCAATGCCAGCAGGCCTCATGGCGTTCGACTAACAGCTGCTTAATTCAAAGTATTGGCTCTGCTGCAGGCGTGCCATCACACCAAGAATGCGGGGTTGCGCCAAAGTCCTGCTTTAGGCATCATGGCTTTAGTCCAGGAGTCCATCCAGCCGACTGCGACGTCACTCGATTTTCAGCCACGCAGCAGGCTCCGGGGCTTTTTCGTATTAGCCTGTGCGTGCTCTCATTGGGCGATTGGCGAGAGTGTCTGCTTTGCCATGATTCAGCGGATAGATGGACGACGGTTTTCACGTGCTTGCTTCTGTTGGCATCAAGACCAAGGCCCTGTCTTACCAAGTCTTACACATGCTTCATCAATGACGTCTCCGTAGGCTTCAGCTATCTTTCTCTTCTATCCGACTGCCGGGTGGGCCAGTTTCGTGAAACCCACCGCGCTATGGAGCAAATCCCCAGCAAGGACGTGCTGGTCCGAGCTCCTCGCATTGAGTCGACGGCTGCTGTGGAGTCTTTGGATCGAATCCTAGCTGGCTGAATGGCGGGCGTTAGAGGAGCCGAGAGTCATGGCTGGAACGAATTGCCATGCTTTTTGGTGACGGTGAGGTGCAGTTAATTCATTGCAGCGTGTGCAAATGATGCATATAATGAACTGTAATAAGTATTATTATTCAATTGTGTTTGACGTCAGGCAGTGTTGGAATTGCGCGTTCTTTGTCTCACAGTCTATCAGCTTATCTGCCTCCGAACTGACAAACAACACAATTAGAAGCCATGCTATCGCCATTCTAGTACGTCTAGCGCCATCTGGATACTAAGAAAAGGGCCCCTTCTCCTTTTGAATGTACTTCGTATCTGCGGGGAATCTCACAAAGCCAGTCGGTTCCTTTTTCCCGCGAACGGCCAACAGCCAATACCTCGGAGAAACGCTGCTTCATCCCGATCAGATTCATCTAATACCATCCTTACACATGCTTACATATGCACTTCCATTCCGACAAAAGTATTCCTTGTCCGTTTCAGCTCGTCAAATTGATGCCAGCTCACATCTGCGCTTAAGCCTTTTGGCGGGAACAATAGCCGTTGGACGGGCGCTTCAACCGACAATTCCCGAAATCTGCTATCCGAGCTTATTACCGTGTCTTAGATGGCTCATTTCCTAGCCAAGATGCTAAGAATATTCGACATCCAGATTCAAGCCATTGTGTCCGCGTTCGGGAAAAGGCGCGTTCCATTTTCCACTTGTCTCTCTAATTGCTGGCCGCTGATAGGCTACTTTAATGTGCGTGTCTAAGCTAACATTCGCGAGACTGAGCTCCGGTGCGGTCTTGACTCGATCAGCGGACGCTTCAAATCTTATATCGGACACCGAGTCCTGAACCTCGGTTTCCGCACCGGCAGTGATTATCGCTTATACACTTTGCTCTCAGCCCCTTTATCTGAATCCAATTATATCCCGGCTTTAAGAAGATTCCATTGACCAAGTCTTACTGACGATAGACCGCTGTTTTCCGTGTCATGTTCACAAACAACCTATATCAGGGACTTGACATAACGAGATATGTCGGCGTTCTTAAATCTATACATGGGGCATATATACCATCTAAAATCTAGTACAATGAGGGAAATCTCAAAAGGCGTCCACCGTCAATAACAATGACAAGCCCATTGCAGTAGGCTCCTGATCTTGAAATCAGATACAAAATGGTTCCAGCCATGTCCTGGTCGTTGCCCATTCTCTGCAAGGGTATGAACTGCGCGGGCACTTTGCCTGGGGTATCCGACTTCTCGTTGAAGCTGTTAACGATGGGTGCGGCCATTTCACTCGGGAACACTAAGCGGCAAGCGTCAGTCAATATCCGAGGTTATCATGGCATGTCTACTCCGATGGCGGAAATTGATGCTACTTACATCCCGGGGCAATGCAGTTCGTCCTGGATAATAAATGACTCGTCAGCTATTTGGAATTGCTTGTTCGATGGCAGAGCCCATGTAGATAACGTCACTTACCTGATATTCCACCGTGGCAGTGCGGTTGAGAGATGCTTGGCTATATGTGTTGCTGCCGCTTTTGACTGGCCATAAGCCCAGCCTCCTGGTGCGGCCTTGTTGAAGCTGGCAATGGAGCTGGTGACGATGATCTGGGAGCTTTGCTCCAAGTTGCCCTTTTTGTTACCCGCGTCGAGAAGCTTCAAAAAGGCAATGGCGGTGTACCAGACAGCGCTTGTGTTGACCGCAAACGTATTCGTGTAGTCTTCAAAGCTGATGTTCCAGTTTGAGTCTGCCCACTCCTCAATCGACGTGTCGTCCTGGATTTGAATAGTGTTAGGTCCTCCAATGCCTGAATTGCAGACCAAGACATTCAGATAGCCGGTGTCTTGCTTGATGAAGTCTACAGCCTGCTGTAGGCTTTCCTTGGACGTCACATCACACTTGACAGGCACGACATTTGGGCCTAGAGACGCCGCAGCCTCTTCGAGGACCTCCAGTCGACGGCCACCGATATAGACCTTGGCGGCACCATTTTTTGCCAGGGCTCGGGCCATCATCAGACCGATGCCTACATAATGCGAAGGGTTAATACGCCATGTTTCTCAAGAGAAATCTGCTGGATTGAATGAAGCAAAGAGCATTCACCAGATAGACTACTTACCAGTTCCACCACCTGTAATGAAGGCCACAAGTCCATCGACATTGAACAGGTTGTTGGCCACAACGGCCTCATCAATATTTTGGGTCGCCATAGCGTTTCAGAGACGAACGGGAGATGATGATGCCGGTTCCTCGGCTGTAAAGGCTTCTTAATATTCAGCTACCTCAGTGAGATGTCTTGATATATCTTATTCGACCCCTCACTCAGAAGCTCGGTAATAGGTAGTAGTTGGTATTACCTACTATTTTGGTCTCACTTTCCCCACCATTTTCAAAGTGTAGCATCTATCTATCTCCGGTCTGTTTATCTTCAACTATCTATACACTGTACCAAAGTGAGAGAGCAGTACTCCATCACCACCAAATCGCCATGTTTGGCACAGTGCTAGTCCCGACGACGCACCACGCTAGCGGCAGCGGACAGGGGTCTTGGATTTTTTTCGAACAATTGCGATCAAGATCTCTTATCTTAGCTTCAAGCTGTCTGCCCAAGAAAAAGAAAAATTGTTGTCAAGATGCCCAAACGAAAGCGCTCTGTCGCAGACACCGTACAGACTAAATTAGAAAAATATCGAATTGATATATTTCGAGCGCTCAGCTCTGCCAAGGTCTTTGAGCGAAAGCGCTTCAGCACTAAGCTGCGCGAGCCTGGAATCACTGTCGCGAAGAAGACCAGGTTGGAGCGCGAGTATGGAGTTTTAAAAGTATGTTCTCGTGCCAATTCAAAGCACGTTCAGAAGCAAAAAGGGATTTTCTTCAGCTAACAGCAATGATAAAGTCTCTCGATCTACGGCTAACTGCCCGACATCACTTGCACTCGAATCTTCTCCGAATCAAGGCCGTAGAAACGTCAGAGGACATCCCGGAGGAGCTCCGCGCTGAAGTTCCGCGACCAACCCTTTCTCCAGAAGAGATTGCCTTGCAGAACAATGTTATCAGCATTCTTTGCAGTGCAAACTCAACCAGACATGCGCTCGATCGTGCGATTACAGACATTTGCGAAACTCTGGGCGTACCTGTTCCAACCAAGTCGAAACGAGTGAGGAACAAGAGAAAAGACACAGAAGAGCAACCGGCAGATAGGGAAGAAGATGAGGAGGGTAGCGAGGAAGATGTGAAACCGTCAAACGATTCCAAGAAGAAGAAGAAAGAGAAGAAGCAGGAGACTGCGGAAGAAGAGTCTGATAGCGAATCTGAGTTCGAGGGCTTTGGCTCCGATGCAGACGAACCTAGGCCAACAATTGAAGAATTGGAAGGCTCTGATCAGGAAACAGCAGTGACAAAGTATGATAATTTGCTAGGTGGCTCTTCTGACGAGAGCGAGGACGAATTCGACGAGGAGTTTTTGGCAAAGTACCGAGGGACGGAACAGGTCAATTTGGACGATATATCAGTATCCGGCTCAGGGTCCGAAGCCGAAGATGAAGATGAGGAGGACCTAGATTCCATAAGTGGCTCACGATCGCCCTCGCCGGTACCAACGAGGAAGCCAAAGAAGTTGACAGACGACGATGACGATGACGATGAGCCAAAAGCCGAGGCCACGAAAAGCAAAAAGGAGAAGAAGGAAGAGGACAAGAAGAAGCGGGCAGCCAAGGCAGCACTGAAAACAGCTCGACCAGGAGATTCGACTTTCCTTCCCACACTCATGGGTGGTTACATCTCTGGATCTGAATCCGCATCCGACATCGACGCCCCGCCCAAGAAACGTCGTGGCCAGCGCGCACGCCAAGCCATCTGGGAGAAGAAATACGGAGCAAAGGCGAAGCATCTGCAAAAGCAAGCTGCAAGCGGCGGCAGAGATTCCGGCTGGGACATGAAGCGCGGTGCTGTAGGACCAGAGGACCAGGGCCGAAAGCCATGGAAAAAGGGCGGCCGCGCGCTTGCAGGGGCTGGTGGTAGAGGAGGCTATTCACAAGGCCGGGAGAGAGGAGCAAATGCTCACCAGGAAAGCAGACCAGCTCCTCCGCCCAAGCCAGTCAAGAAGGATAATGAAGGGCCGTTACATCCCAGTTGGGAGGCTCGAAAGAAGGCAAAGGAACAGCAGAAGGGAGCTGCATTTGCTGGCTCGAAGATTGTTTTTGATTAGTGAGTTTAGGATGCCAAGATATACATGCCAATTGCATTTGAGGGCATATATCAAAGCCATGAGGTGGGGCTAGTATACATGAATAATTCGCGATTGTAGATTTTGCGATGATAATACAAGCTGCCTATGGCACAAAGTTTTTGCCAACCCAAACGCTATCGAAGCTGATAACTATTTCGATATGCTGTCAACATATAGAGATTTTAATTCGCTCTTCTAAACCACTTCTGAACTTGGTAACGAAGAATCCACCACTCAGATGGCTTTCGTTGCTCGTTGTTGGGAGGGAATTCTTCAAATCGCTCTCGGAGAGACTGCCAATATGAATCATGATCTTCGCTCATGTTCTCCAATAGTCGCGATCGATAGCCGGTATAAGATTTCCCCAGAATATCTACAATATTCTCGAGGTTAAATACCACTATGTAGGTCGCGAACCCCACAAGAATGGTAGTAATAATAAAGGGAGTTCTTGTATCCTTATTCGATATATCGGGCACGGCCCAAAGAGCCTGTGGATTAGTTTAATTAGGAGCTCATGTTTCAGCATGTATTCATTCTCAAGTACCTACTGCACAAAATGCCAATGGCAGGTAAACGATGCTCACATAAGTGAGGAGCTTCACGTTTTTGCCCAGTCTAGTGGATGATCTGCTCTCTATGAGCGCGCTGGCATTGAAAAGCTGTGAAATGTATGTAAGCCCATCATCTCTACAAACGTAGCCAGGCCGGCTGGGCAAAACTTACACCATCGCGTAGCGTTTGTACAGTTACTAATTTCGTTCGAAACTGGGCTTGTAAATCTTCTAATCCCTGTCGGACTTCTTCGCCCCGCGTACGCAAATTTTCAAGTTTAGCCAATTCGTTGGATACTTCTATATCTCCTCCTTCGAGTGAATCTTGTAGTAATTCGAGTCTGGGATCAATTCGCGCTTGCCGAAAAAGCTTCCACTGTTTAATATCATCTTCAATGCTTATATCGAATTCGTTGAGGCAACCGATGACCCAGAAATAAAGTCTTGACCGACTGAAAGTCTCATCGTCGAAGAGTAGCATTCCATAAGACTTTGGATCCATGAAATCTTCGACTAACAAGCCTCCAATGTATTCAATGAGATCCCGCCATCGATTTTCCACTTTACTAATTGCGTCCACAATAATAACCGTTTGAGCGTTTAATAAGCTCTCCTCGCTTAAAACTGATTTCCAGTCCGTATCCACGTCGTTCTGGGCTGGTTGTTTGAAGAAATTGGAAGAGCTCAGGACTAGCACTGTCCAATCGACATGGACAGTACGTGAATGCATATATTTAGGTAGCCGATTGGGAATTATCTAAGAGTATGTCGTTAGTATCAATTTATTTTGTCTGGGGACGAGCACCTACTGTGAACGAGCTTTCTCGAAACACTGGTCCATTGTTCTTTCCAGTAGTATTACTGCTATTTTTGTCGGATTTTCCGTACAGGTAGCCGATTTTCAGCTTTTTCTGACGGCTCACTTCAATTAGGCCACTGGGGCTATCTCGTGGTAGCATTTCATAAAAAGTTATATGAAACGCATTGTCAATATTTACATATGGATTCGTTGCCTCGCTACTGGGTCTTCGCTGGCATAGTATGTGTAGATTAGCTGCTCTGCTTATCGGATCATCTTTGCTGTTCATAACAAGAAAAGGAAGAGCGATGTAGCTTGGCCTTGCCGGTAGAAGAAGCGGCAACCCTTGGCATATTCTACTTGAATTAGCATACAATAATTTCACCTTGAAGGAGTATCAATAAACAAACATAATCCTTTTCATTGGAGCAGTGTCATGACGCGGTGATGGGGAATGCCATAATCTGGAGCGCTGTGATCGGGGTCGGTTGAGGAACTCCCGAATTTTCTGCTGTTGAGACAAGATGGTATGATATCCAAGTCTAGTCAAAAATCAGCTCAAAATTACAATCGCAATCGTTTACAAGCGAAAGGGACAAACGAACCGTTCTTCTTTCTTTTGATTGCCTAAGAGATGGTCCGCATGAGAAACGCCGTATGGGCTATCGTGTCCTATGTTATACATAAAGTAGGGCTCTGACCACTTCTCTTGCATCCGAAATTCGGGGGTTTGGTCCCAGATGACGAAATGGCCGAAGGTTTGGATAGTGCACCAAAATGATCTGAGAGCTTCGATATTCAAATCATCTTCTTTGAAGAAGAAGCGATTTTGATATTCTCTGCCCCGAAAGCCAACTCCATGTTGTTCCCAAGGAAAGTCGAGATTTAACTCAAATCTCCCGTCCTGAGGGATAATTCGGACAAAGTTTGATCTGGCAAAGGCGCCAGGTAGTGCAGTTAAGGACACATAAGAGGCCGCATTCAAACTCCCAGCTGTCCAAGCTTTGGCAGGGAAAATAAGGGCATCAATTGCGGCATATTTTTTAGGTCTTTCTGTCTTTTTCTTTTCCTCTTTCTTTTCACTCTGTAACTGCAGTTAGCCATTAACTCTTCTCCAGTTTGGCTCTAGCTAGAAGCCTTTCCTTCAAATCTGGCTGCGCCTGTAAGAAAGTTAGTCATCAACTTACTCTAAACATCGAGATACTTACTTCCTATGTCGCATTATAACCAAAATGAATTAGTTATAAGCCATTCATTTATCCAGTTCTAGTCAACATACCAATTCAGAAGACGATTCCATTTCAAAAGAGAGTAGTTTGGCCGTTCAAATGAAACTCAGTAAGCAGGATCAAATCATGGAAGGAGAGAATTCAAAATTGCTTGCCCAATGTTTTCAGCTCAACCATTTATAAAGCACAGGTACTACTAGATATAGATCATTGGGTGCATCCCTCTGGATTAAAAAAAAAATCGATTGACCAAAGAGATCATAAAGCCTGCATCTGTAGTAGAGTGCATAAATAAGTCAAAAGTACGGGGTCAACAAAGTGATGTCTTCATGGAGGCATCCGAATATCAAGAGAACATTAACGAGGCCTTGGTCTCCATTTGCCAAATAGGAAGTGAGGGGACATGTTCTAGCTTCCTGATTACTGAGCGCAAGAGTACAATGCACAATTACCCCATAAGAGAGGGGAGCTTGGCTAGGCAGCAAGGCGGAGCTGACAAGGCATATCCACCACTTTGAATAAATGAGACAGGGCTGACAACCGCTTAGTTTTTTATTGGCAGACTCTCATTAACCAGATACAAGATACTCAAAGGCCATGGCAGGCCTCTTTACTTTTGTCGGGAGTGGCCAGCACGAATATTTTGCAAAAACAATCGAAAAGCCGTCTAATGCAAAAACAAACCCCAGAGAGACGTTCCGTTATGACTTCTCAGATATCCCAGAATCTGTTCTGAGCGATTCTCAGACATTATGCCAGCACTGCAGCGTCTTGCAACTGGAAAATGTACGCCTTATACATACTGCTGGCTCGTATCCTAAATATTCTCCAGAGTTGAAAGCAGATGTCCCCAGTTTTGAAGAGGATCTAGAATATCATCGCAAGGACACCGTTCCATTACTCCCAATCTTGGCCGAATCTGCAAACGCTGGATGCGGTTTCTGCTGTCTTCTTCGAAATGCCATAATTCAGCATTTCCAGCGGTATCATTTGGGATGCCTCCCCGATGATACGATCGAGCTGGTACGCATCCGCCATTTCTGGAACCCTGGTTTGACGGCGTTTACTGTGTATAGTGCTGCATTTGCTAGGCCTGGGCACAGGTATAATTATCTTACATTTCGCGTCAGTGCGAACTTGAATGGTATGAAATACGTTGACTCTTTCTTTTCTGAGACAACTCTCTAACATGACCGAGCTTTTAGATGAGTGTGCTTCAGTACTTGATATTTACACAAAGCGCATTCCAGATAGTATCATATCGCCGGCAGGAATATTCACGCTGAAGAAATGGGTGTTAGGCGACAAAGAGGAAAAGGCTGCTTTAAATGCATCGTTTCGCCCTACAAGGCTCCTTCATGTCGAGAGCAGAAAAGAGTCTGGCTTGATTCATCTTGTTGAGACCCATGGGTATCCCAGTGTGGATGGAAAATCTCAGCCATATTTGGCTTTGAGTTACTGCTGGGGGAAAAGGGGGCCTTCGTTAAAAACTACCAAAAGCGACTATTCTCATTTACAAAAATCCATCTCTTATAGCGCCATGCCCAAGGCCTATCAAGATACTGTGCGTGTTGCACGAGCGCTGGGCGTGAAGTATATCTGGATTGATGCTCTATGCATCATTCAAGACGACAGGGAAGACTGGGAGAAGGAGTCCCGAATGATGGCAGAGATCTTTCAGAATTCCTTGGCCACGCTCATACTCCTCCGTACAGCATCATCCAATGAAGGCTTTCTGGAGCGGAACCCAAGCATCAAGATCAATTACCAAAATCGTTAGTGGGATGTTTGTGGCTCGTTTTTTCTTCGTCATATGCCCTTCTCCTATATGGACGCAGAATCTGCCATACGCGCCGCGCCCAGCTTCTCAGATCGACCAATCTCGTTGGAACTTCGGCATTCACCTTGGCAGAATCGAGGCTGGACTTTTCAAGAGGACATGTTTTCTCTGAGAAAGCTATATTTTGGACAGCTTATGATGTATTGGGATTCTCTTAAACCCGTGGACATTATGAGAACAGAAGACACAATCATTGACGACAAGTTAAATCGCCTTGACGAGAGCGCCGAGATTTCTATTGTTCATTCGTCCGAGCCATGGAGAGGCGACTATCATTACGACGGGTGGTATTACCCAATGCTCAATTACTGCCAAAAGAATCTCACGTACGCGACCGACAGGCTTTCTGCGGTGGCTTCATATGCGAAGCTTGTCGCCAGCAAAAGCAGAGATACGTATGTCGCAGGTTTGTGGAAGAAAGATCTTCATCGTGGCTTGCTCTGGAAAATAGGCAGAAGGCAGCGCAAAACTTTCCGGACGTTGATGAGGCAATTATCAAACCTGTCTGAATACATTGCGCCGTCCTGGTCATGGGCAAGCCATAACAGCATCTTACACTTTGACCTTTCGGATGGAGTAATGCAACCCGAGTGTGAGATCCTCGAAGCAAAGACAAGAAACTACGGTGATGTATATGGCCGTGTACGAGACGGACACATCCTGATCTGCGGAAAAGCCTGCGGCATCCCTGGTGGAAAACTCCAGATGCTGCCTCTCATGTCTCCTTATCTTAATATTCAGTGCGAGTGGTTGGCTATTGAGGACGAGCAGTATGTTGCTCAGTGTGCCCTCGACTGGAGAGTGACAAATGAAGACGGCAAGCAGCTCTCAGAAGCAAGCGGAGATTCTGTCTATAAGATGGTGATGCTTCTTATCTCCAGCAGCTATACGAAGAATGCAGGTGCATTCTCCAGGAGGCCGCAGGAGTGGGAGAGCAATGAGGGGGATCCTCCAGTTGAAGTCATGCACGGCCTATTGCTCTATCCGACTGGAAAGGCAGACGATGAATACTGGCGAGTGGGATTATTCCATTCTTTGGCTGATGAGAAGGGAGGGAGAAGGTACTTTGATACGTGCGAAGAGCGCGAATTTCGGATCATTTAAGAATGAGAGAGATATCAGGAAATTCCAAGGGCCAGACACGATTTGTTATGTATCAATGTTACACGTGTTCGAGACACTTCTTGCTTCTGCACTGCGTGTTTAGCCGCATCACAGCTCACGCCTTGCAGCATAAGCAGAACATGCATGCATGAGCCGCCTTGCTTTTATTTCAGCTGCACCAGGACTGATGGTTCACAACGCCAAGGATTTGACCTAACTGTGTTCCGTGGCGTGCATGTTTAATTCATGTCTCGGGAGCAAGGATGTTCGCTGCACGTCCAGTCCAACGGCTTGTCTTGGCTAGCACATTAAACCAACAATACCATGAGCAATCCTTCTACCTTTGCGACATGAAAATAAATTTTACAATTTCATCCAAACTTCATCATCAGTACGCATGCCAACTCTACCGAATTATGCTGCTGATTGTATCACGCATCACGGTGAAGTCATGCATGACTCTGAAGAATCATCGCCACTAATGCACGAAGCAGCGTTATGACACCAACGTTATGACACCAATGATCGCGGCATCTCAGCCAGTCGCTCGAATCTGTCTGCGGCGTCTTGTTTCATGATGAAGCCTCCCCCAATAGATTGGTGGCAGAAATGTCACTAGCAGCTTCCTGCAAAGATCCACGGGCAGCTGCGCTTCAAGGAGTCGTCCAGTACACCTTCTGCAAGACAATCTTCGCTGCATCGCTACTAGCGCTCTGCAGTCAAACGTCGCGATCGCCTCAGTCACTGGCCACCATGACTTGGTCTTGGGTTCGCTCATGGCATCTGATACAATTTGATACAACTTATCCTCATTCTTAGCTATTCTTTCTCCCTTCCATTGTCTGTAAATGCATGATTCACCCCTCCCTCCTAAAATAGAGGCTAGTCAGTAGCATCGCCGCATCCTTGGAAAAACCGCCTATTCTAGAGTCAGCGTCTTTGAACAGGCACTTCATGTAACCATCAGCCCCAGCCTCCAACACCCCACTGCGCTTATTCTCCCGCTGGGTCAATTACGAGCATCGACACCCACCCAACGGCTCGACGACGTCGTTGCTCTGACTGCAATCGCCTAGCAAAAGATGGCGCCCGCGATGGAAGACGTCATGCGCCAATCACTTGCCGATCTGATCGAGACAGAGGGTCACGAGCCGGGATCCTCTCCAATCGCAGTCTCTCTCGACTACCCCGGCTTTGCAGCGGCTCACGATCGCAATTAGGGCACATGCGACAGCGAGTCTGCGGCTGGGCCGAGCCGGCAGGATATAACGCCGCTGGAAGGCCAATCCTGTGTAGCCAGGCCTGCAGCCTGTGATGCGGGAGCCATGTCGGTCGCCTCCACCATACCGTTGCAACAACACGCCGGCGAGTTGGAAGCGGGTACTGCTACTCCCATGGAAGAGTATAACTCGCATCTGGATCGTTTCTCTGAACTTGGGAGCTACTTCGATCTCGCCCGGGACCCTGCATCAATCAATAGTAGATCTGCTGGAAAGCAAAAGATGGCCTTTGAAGAGACCGTTCGCTCTATATCTTCTCACCTGCCGTCCAATATGTCACGGCGCAGGGCGAGAAGTCAAATTGCTTCTCCTATCGTCGATTTTGATGTTGCTACTGCAGAGAAGCCCTACAGAAAGCGTCAGAGCAGTCAACCAGTACGGAGTCCCAAGTGCTACTACATCATTAATCCCAGAGTCCCTGGTTCGGCTTGGTACTTGACCAAAGGAAAGGGCGATTCGAATTCACAAGAATATGAGGTTGAAAAAGTACCAGCTCACCTAGTTCGCATCAGGAAGAATCATGTCGGATACCTTGTTGAAACCGCTAATCGAGACGATGTGACCGTCGACGCTGGACGTCGACCGGTATCTTGGACCCCAAGATACCAAAATGGCTGGTCTACCGCAGCAGAGCCTATTCAAGAAAAGGCGACGATCGACTCAGACACAAAATCCAATAAGAGACTTAATCGATTTGACAGAGATGACGTTGAAGAAGGACCGCCCACTGACGAGTCAAGCGTCATCGTGGACCGCTGCGATATTCCACTCATAACCAAGAGAATTATACACCAGTTGCCAGCGGTTCGACCACAAGAACGCATTTATACCACAAGCAACAGTGAAGAAAAAGATGGGGCTTCATCGTCTGAGCAGCGAGATCTCGAGAGTATCATCGAGGCTGCCCTGGTGGAATATATGAGACCGGCGCAACCCCGTGATAAAACCAGGACGCACGGTGATGATATTTCCTCCGAGAACAAACTGCATGTCCAAATCAAGCTAGAAAGCGAAGCTCAACGCATAAACCTTCGACCATCTATTGCCGCAGATCCGGCCATCACCCTGAGCATACCTGAGACATCATTCACAATCCCGGATGCTGATCACAAACATAATCTACTCAGGAAAGACTCGAGGCAAGGAGCATCGACGGCAACGGCATTCCTTTCACCACAAAGCAGTTCTGCCATCACCTTGACAAATCATAGCGAGCATCTAGAAGAACCGACCAAGTCTCCCATAACAACAGACAGTCCTTCGGATGAGAATTCTGAGAATACTGCTGAAGCACCTCGTGCCTTATCCTGTCCTAGCCACATTCAACACCAGGCATCAGACGTCTCACAAACCTCCCTTGGAGCCTCCAGCGTCGCTTCTTCCATGACCTCGTTTCCGAAACTTCTATCACGACATTGCACTCGAGAATGGATCAAGCCCCTGGCTAAGTTGGAAGATCCTCACTATAGGCCATCATCTGAAGTATACTCTCGAGGAAATGAATCTCAGGCTGGCCACCCTTCCCGCGGCCCGCATGATGAGAGCTCAATGTCAAACTCTTGGACCGCTGATGATTTCCAATCTCGCGATGCCTCTGGCTATTTCTCCAATGAAGTTCAGAATGCCCGGCGTTCAACCATGTCCCAGTCTTCACTTAAGAGTATGAGAGGTTTCGGGAGTCAAATTGGCGCAGCGCGGCATCGCCGTCGGAGCACGACATCCTTCGATCCCAGAGCTCAAGCTTTGCAAGACAACTTTCTGCCAAACATTCTGAGCAGATTCTTCCATAACAAGAGTAAAGAAACGCCTGGAAGCCCCGATTCTAAAGAAACGCTACATTCGGGGGCATTGGCTCCTTACAACTCGCCTACTCATGGTCATTATTTCGCGAATACCCCCAGATCTGGAAATGGATCGTTTGTCGAACGAAGCCCAACTTTGTCGGTGGAGGACAGAGCCAGGATACAGGAAGTCCTCGTTGAAGGTCCCGCAGCCATGCGCAGGCGCCGATGCGATACGTGTTCTGAGGATAACAGGCCTCATGTTTGTGAAGAGGATATAGAAAATAGAGTGAGGTGAAGGAGGTGAAGAAGGTGAAGAGCCAGATTGTACCAACATACGCGAGTATTATTACTAGTTTCCTGTCTGCTTTCCCTATGCTGTATCGTCTTTCTAATCTAATGAATAATAATTATCATTCTCTATCTTGTTATTAAATAACGATGTGATACTGTGGTCGAATACACAAGCATTGCAATGTTGCAATCTATTTTCTTCTCTCATGTTGTTTCCTCTCTTCTTTTATGTACAGATTGCCGAAATTAAGACAAGCCTGATGGGGTGTCATCAAATATACCTAAACACTATATCAGATTGAATTTGTACAAGAGATATTCTTCACATTCTTCACAGAAAGTCATCAATAAAAAATCATCATACTCCGTATCATGCCAGTAGGATTGAACATAAAATGCGCTGTTACACCGCCTTTGACGCCCTTGCTTTATTCTCCCGATGTCTCTTCTCCTTCGCCGCCGTCTTCCTGCGAGTCATCCACGACTTATTCAAATCCCTCCTATTCTCCCAGAACCATTTCTGGAAATCGGTTGTGGCGGAAGCCTTCCCCTGTGCAGGGTTTTCATCGTCTTCACCTTCTCCGTAGCCTTCTTCCTCTCCCTCTTCTTCTTCTTCTTCTTCTTCTTCTTCTTCTTCTTCTTCTTCCTCCTCCTGTTCGTCAACTGCATTGACGTCTCCCATTTCCACGTCCTTCTCGGGAGAAGCGCCCCAAAAGCGCATGCGTGACGGATGAGCTGTATCTGGAGTTGGGGCGGCACTTCGCGTGTTGCGCCAATCAAACTCTTGGCGGGTAAAGGGCGTCATGGGCACGGTGGCTGGTGCGGCTTGGGAGGACTGCCCTTCCTCTTCGTTGTCCTCATCGTCGCCGCCGCCTCCGAAGAAGCTGAAGGGTTCGTCTTTGGGGACGGACGTAGGTGCATCACCCTTGGGTTTCTGTCGCTTGTATAGAGCCTCTAGAGGATGTACTTCGACAATTGTTGGTATCTCGGGAGGTGGAATCTTGATCGCTAGGGGCTTGGTGCTTCCTGGCGTGGATTTAGATCCGCTGACTTTGGATGTAGATTTGGGCGTAGCCTTCTCTGCTGCCTTTGAGGATTGTTCTTCTTCGTCTGAATCCTCGCTGTCATTTGAGTCGTCGCTTGAACCATCGCTTGAAGTATCGCTGTCGTCGTCCTTCTCCTCGTTGTCAACCTTGCTTGCAGCAGGAGGGGCCGCCTTGGGGGTTCCTTTCGCTTTCAGTTTTGTCTCGGCTTTAACCTCCTTGTCAGATTCTTCTTCAGACTCATCTTCTGATGATGTGCCTTCCGATGAAGTACCACTGCTGCTAGTGCTGTCGTCTTCCGATTCTTCAGGCACTGGCTTCGGTTTGGGAGCTTTCTTCGGCCGCTGTGGTGCCTTTGGTCTCTCCTTCTCCTTCACCTCCTCCACGACGTTGCCCTCTTCGTCAACCCATCCCTTTCCTTCCACATACTCGGCCGCCTTTTTCTGGTCCGTCGCAACAGAGGCTTTGAGGAAACTTGGAAACTTTGTAGTCTTCTCAAACTCATGAATGATAACCTCTCGTGAGCTGCCCTTCTTCTTGCTCCTCTTCTTGTGCTCCAACTCTCCGGGAGCCAGGTTCTTCAGAGTGTTTGGCGGCAGCTTTGTCTTCAACAGGCACTCTTCTCCTTCTGTGTATTTGGACTTTGGTCGCTTTCTCTTTTCTCTGTCTTTGCTCTTCTCCTTGTCTTTGCTGTCCTTGTCCTTTCTTGCCTTCTTTTTAGTCGTTGACGGTGTCTCGGTCCATCCTCGCTTTATCTGGCGATCATGCAGCGCCACGCCCTCCAAAACATCCACCTCTCGCTTTCGTTTCTTGGATTTATCTTTGCCTTCTTTAGATGACTTCTTCTTCTTTTCAGGAACTTGCTCCTCTTCCCCAGTCGGCTCTATCCGCGCCTCTGGGCGAGCCTTTTCAATCCGCATCTTGCACCCCTTTAGTGTCGCTCCGTTCAGCTTCTTCTTCAATTTTTCCGCATCCGGCTCGGGAAGTTCGATAAATCCGTATCGATTTTCCGGGAATGTTTCAATCGTATGGTAGGAGATATTACGAGCGACCGGGCGCACTGAAGCGGGAATCACAACCTGGGCCAGCTCGGCGTCAAACGGCGTGATGTGAAGGCGGACGAAATCGTCGGAGTCGCCCATTGGAAGCGGCACAGAAAAGACGTGTTCGGGCTATGCACCGGTTTTTGCAAATTTATCCAAGCGCGCTTCGGAAAAATCACCGTGTTGCAACGCAGTTAAGCGCCTGACAAAAAAAAAAGTCCTGAAAGAGTGCAAAGTCGACAAGGAGCTTTGGAAATTTTAGCGGGTCTAGGGACCGTAGGACGGCAGTAGGGGCTTGGGTTATTCCGCGCCGTTGTGCCTCAAAAGAGTCCTAACCAGCTCCCATACCTTTTGCTACCCTAATACTGGCCATAACCAGCTTGGATCTGATAACTCTATAAAGTAGCTGTAATAACGAGATTCTAAATCGGAAAAAAAAAAACCCAAAAAAAAATTCTGAATCTGAATACTGTAGGTAGAGATTTGAGATGAGAGTTGACTGTTAATACTGCTCGTTACAATAACGGCTTTCACGTTGGTCTCTGTACACAGGTTTACTTACACACTGCATAAAAGAGGCCGAATTCGAACAGCTAATTTCATCTAATTTAAACGTCGCATCCTTTCTCTAATGAGATAATGAGCAAGGCGTTAATATCAAGCGCTCAAATATTTATTCACTTTCACCAAATAGTCCAGCTCGAGCCATTTGCATGTCTATATAAACCTCATGCTACCATCAAACTCCGTCTTATACCATCACTCGGGCCAACCCAATAGGACACCATTCATATATTGTTACATGATCTTACAATAACTGCGTGATAAAACGCATACGCCGCTCTGTATATCAGAAAAAAGTCTTCCCTCTACTCTACAGTGAGAATGCTCGAACATTTATACATTGGGTGAGAGGAGATCGTATTTGACACATCGTTCCACCTGGACACATGCAGGTTAGCAAAAAGAAAACAGATAGGGCATAGAAAGCACTTACATCGTCGACACTGGCTTGCAGGAACTTTCTCGTTTCCAAGCCCACCCATAGCATAATCATCGAAAAATCGCCGTGTTTCGCCATGTCTGCACCACTTTGGGCGCTTAGCTGTCTCAAAATCGGAAGAGAACTGCTCAGCAGATCGACGTCAGGGTTTAGGCTTCGACCGATGCCTTCAAGAAGGAGAATGCTAATGACGACATTGACAAAATCGCCCTCTAGGCGGACGTGATGGCTGCGGACCATGGAGAGAACGTCCTGCAAGATGTCGCCAATCTTGACGTTGCCGAGTGCGAGGGTGCGGCTTTTGACGCTGAGAACTAAATGTTGCATTTTGAGAGCAAACACTTCCTTGTCGATGACGGCCTCGGGCTGGCGACAGCGCTCGCACATGAGATGGCCGGCCTTGTAGCCGTTAAACTCGGCGACAGCTCGAAACAAGGCCAGGAAATTGTCGCGATTAGGCGCATTCAACTCCGTTACAAGTCCCGTGTCTATAAAGACCAACTGTGGACGATATCCCTCCGCATCAATTTTGGCTAGTTCTGCTTCCCATGCTGACCTATCCTTGCGGTGTCGATAGGGGCGTAATCGTTCCAAGACCTTTTCTGTGACGTCCAGCTGGTCGTCATCTGAGGCAGGCGGCGTTTTAGATGTTTTCAGGCGTAGTCGAAGATTTGGTTGCGCGGATTGATAGAAGCGGACCATGATATTGCCCGGGTGCAGATCAGCGTGGACGAAATTATCCAGCAGCAGCATTCGGAGAAAAGCGTCCAATCCCTCATTGGCGATATCATGCTGGAAGACACCGCCCCCGCTCTCCATGAAGACTGCGAGGGGTATGCCTTGAGCAAATTCCTCAATAAGAACATTGCGGGTGGTGAACTCTGAATAGGGGAAAGGGAACGAGGCAGTCGTCCTGTCCTTGAAGTTCTTTCTGAAAGTCTCCAAATTGGCAGCTTCTATTCGCAAGTCTAGCTGAAGCTTCATCATTTGGCCAAACTGAGCAACTTCATCCGGTAGAGATAGCCATTCAATCGTAGGGATGGCGTTCAGTATTGAAGCAAAGAAGCCCATAATCTTCAAGTCTCGTCGCACTATGCGCTCGACATTAGGATGCAGTACCTTGACTGCGACGTAGGTTGATGGGACCTGCTTTGGAGAGCTTTTCAAGACAGTCCGCACTTGATGCTTTACATTCTGAGATAGTAGCCCATGTCCCCCCGAATCAGCCTCGAGATCTTGTGGTGCTGCGAGGTCAGGCTTGAGTTTTGCTTTGTACACCTGCGCAATTGCGCCAACACCAAGCGGCGTTTCGTAGAATTCGTCAAATATGTCCTCAAACTTGCGTCCATTGAATGCAGCCTCGACCGTCTTACGAGTGACACGCATTGAATGGGCCGGAGCATTCGAGTGCAGCTTCGACATTGTATCGCACATGGCCGTGGGGAAGATGTCCGTTCTCGATGCCGCCCACTGTCCGAGTTTGATAAAGGCCGGGCCTGCCCATTCCATGGATTGCACAAGGAAGCCATACCACCAAAGGGTGCCGCTTCGTTCGCCATCTTTATCAGGCTGCCGCCGGCCAAACCAGATTACAGGAACCGAAAGAATGACGGGTACGAAGATAACCATCAGGTGTAAAAACCTGGCTCCAGTACAGATTGGCTCCAAGATATAAGTGTCCCAGATGAGGACGATCTCGTGTATAATCCGAGATAGTCCCCGGTCCTCATCATCAATGGACCTCCGGATCTCAGCTCTGGATGCTTCCAGCATGCGAGACTCGCCCGTCTCATGAGTGTCTCCATTATCCGTCTGTAACAGCTGAACAAAAGCTCCGGTTCCTAGTGTAGCTACACCGGCCGAGGCATGCAGCGAGATTCGACTTCTTGACTTTCCTTTCCACGCTGTAAATCTCGTTGTATGAATCCAATTACACGATTCAGCACTACTCCGATATATAGTTTGGCGCAGCGCATACGGCCGAAACAAAGTGCGCCCGCAAAGCCGGCCAAAGACAGGGCCAGCCCTCATATCGGCGGACTCAATTCCAGGCCGATAGGGGCTACTGTCATAGTCGAATCGTCATTAAGAGTATCCGTAGTTCGAGTATATGGAAAGGAAAAGAAAAAGGAAAAGGGAGAGAGGTAAAAAATAGAGCACGATATCGACCCGGAATCACAAGCTTCTCTGCACGAATCCTTGCAAACGCGGGAATCCGAATCGGTGCGAACCCGAATCGGTGACGTATGATTGACACGGCGAGAATCCGGTTAAACACGTGCCCACTTAGGCACCCGGGCCAGAACGAAGAAAAGAAGTTTCGGGCTTGGCCGATTTGGCTTAAGAAATTTTTAGCCTCTGATCTTCATCCACTCTGCTACTATTCTCCGAATTTCTCAACTCTTGCGCCTTTGCGACAAAACGAGCCTTTCAAATTTTTTTACTGTTATCTTTAATTTCTTTTAATATCTCCTATAATTTTTACTTCTCGCAATGGGTTGGTTTTGGGCTGAACCTGCCTCTCCTCCGGCTGGGCTTCCTGCAGGACACCCGGCCGTGTCATTGAACAAAGAGCCTCCGGTATGATGATTGATCTGCGACGCAAATCTAGTAGAAGCTCACGCATGGCAGGCCGGTTGTCCAATGCACCAGAAATCCGCCGATTCCTTCAACACACACAAATCCAAGTCCGCCGATAAATCATCTGCTTCCGGATGCCCCGTACCTCATGGTTCTTCATCGCCATCACCAGCAGCATCTGGATGCCCAGTGCCTCATGGATCGCCACCACTGCCGGCGACGTCTGGATGCCCGGTTCCCCATACTGCTCGAGAGAAGGAAGAGCCAAAGTCGGTGCTCTCTCAACTCAACCCCCTGAACTACATGTTCCGAGATCTGTCACAGAAGCCCGCCGCCAACCAGTCGATGGCGCTACCGGTCGAACGAGAGGAATCCACCATTCCTAGGGGAGACGGTGAGGGCACGTGGGAGTACCCTTCACCTCAGCAAATGTACAATGCTCTGTTGCGCAAGGGCTACACCGATACCGACATCACGGCGGTTGAGTCCATGGTCTCTGTCCACAACTTTCTGAACGAGGGTGCATGGCAAGAAATCATTGGCTGGGAGGAGCGCTTCGCACGAGGATTATACAAAGGCTGGCAGATCTGCAAGCGGGGAGAGGAGCATACGGCCGAGGAGTTGGATCGCAACTGGGATGGAACAAACGTCACCCCAACGCTCATCCGATTCCAAGGCCGCCCCAAGGACCTTACTCCTAAGGCTACGATGTTGCAAGTCCTGGGCTGGATCTATCCCTCCAAGTTTGGGTAAGACGATATTATCTCTACCACCACGAATGAGAATGGAACAATGCTAACGATAGATAGAACTGATCTTCCCTTCGATCGCCATGACTGGTTCGTCTCACGGAACGTCAACGGCGAAGAGAAAGAGATTCGATATGTCATTGACTACTACTCTGGAGAGCCCGAGCCAACTGGAGAACCCGTCTTCTATCTAGATGTCCGGCCTGCCGCCACGCCTCTCGGAAGCGCAGAGCGAATCATCCGATGGAGCACAGACACATGGTGGAAGGCTATCGGAGGTGACCAGCGAGAACAGAACCCACAGCCCTTCTTTCGCCACAACGCTGTCAAGTCCCAAAACTAAATGATAAATGCGGCTACGGCGTCTATACGACAAAACAAAACAACTCCCTGCTCTTTTTTAAAACTTTCACGATTATGTTTGTCTTTTGTATACTATCACGAATGGGATGGGGGATAGGCGTTACTGTGCATTAGATATTATCAGTTTGCTGTATATTTAGCCCATATCCAATTCTGAGTGCCATTTGTGCCTATATATACATTTTTGCGTGGGATCTGATCCTTCGCTGTAGCTGCAATTGCCGATCAGTTAATTTGGAAATGTATCATCATATAAAAACCACTTAACAGCGGGAGCTGGAAAAAAAAGAGAATAAGTCATTAATCTTGTATGTATTGTGTTTCGCTTATATCCCCTTGCGCATAGCAAATGTATTTCCTCCGCTGTCACCTCCCCACGCTTTATACAATGGTGCCCTTGCATCTACAAATATAGGTACGCTTATGTTGAAGAGGAGATACAAAACCGTGCTTGCACATTGTATCCTATAAACTCCGAAAACTACCAAAAAATGTTGTCCCCTAGTGACTTGAATAAAGCGGAAGAAAGAAAAATAAAGTCGCGTCGAAGGACTCCTCGCTGTCAGCGAGCTCTTTGCGGGCTCTCATGCTTGGCGGTTAGGATCCCCCCCCTTGTTGTATGTACCTGCTGGTGCACCAGCATGATTTATCTCGAATAGTTTTCATGAACTTGCCGTGGTCACATCCTATTAAAGATCGAACCCATAGCTTTGTCCATGTGTTGCTCATCGTGCAAGCGGCTCTTGTTGCACCCTTTCCGCTGCGTGATGCTACAGAGCTTCTCAATCTGTGCTGGCACTGAGATCCATAGGTTTATCCCAGAGGTTGCGAAGGAGACCGGCCATAGCATCCTCCTCCTCACCTCCAACCAAGCTGGAGCCACTGAGTCTTTCGTTCAGTCGGCTCATATCGTCTCCTTCGTAGCTCGAGCCTGCGCCGTTGGTTTTCACCGACGCCGTTCGTTTAATTGAAGGTGCTTGGCGTCCTTCGGGCATGCTAATGTTTCGAACATGGCGAGCTGTGGGATCCGCTGACCGTTTGCTGGCTGTTGTTGAACCTGTATTGGTACGAGGGATCCTCTTGGTCTTGTCCATCCCTGGAATATGGCTGAGGCGGTTCAGTGATCTTACAATGGGATTTTGGTGACGCCGGACGACTAAATATTCCATCCCCGTCCGCTCCAAGAGCTTAGTGACACGAGGGTCTCGGCTGTTGCCTCCATCGTGTCCTGGATCTCCAATACCGATTAATGGTCCACTTCCTACAGCTCCACCCAGGCCAGGAACAGCCTGTCCGGGCTCAAGAGATGAACTTGCGCGCTGCAAGTTGAGCTTCTGTTGTGTACGCGATGTGAGGGCTGAGGGCGCGGCTGTTCTCCTGGCGGGCTTAGGTACTAGAGCGCTGATATCACTCTCTATAGGCGACACATCTTCGCTGGGATGATACTCGTGGGATCTCGATAAGTTGGCCGTTGAATGCGGCCGTCGAACAAGGTCCTCAGATCGGTGAGAGCCTCCTGCGCGAACGGGGTTGTAGAATGAACCCTCGCTGGTGAGGCCTGAGCTGGGGACTTCGACGAAGCGCGAAATAAGCCCCTCAGATTGGCTTCCGGTCGGCGGAGAGGGCTCATGGCTGGTCGAGGCAGGCGAGATGTGCGTGGGAGTAGCCTTTGCCATTTCTGTGGACATTTGAGGTGGAGCGCCGTGAGATGCGACTCTCTGTAGCAGTCGCGTCGTCGGGTAATCTTTACGCTCTGCTGCTTTTCGAGAGGGCGATGACGACAATTCCGGTTGCGTTGTCGAAGCTTCCGTTGAAGCCTCTGCTGATTCTTCTATTGATGATGCCACCTCTGGCGCTGCTGTCGACGCGCTTGGAGTCTGTGGGCGGGAATTTGCCGCACTGTTTCCGGGAGGGAAAGAAGAGTGTGTACTGCTGTTCAATGAGCCCTTTCGCGACAAATAAGGCGAATTAGAGCCACTGGCATCAACCCATTCGTCTTCTGGATCATCCGAACCGAGGTCGAAGTGCACTTGGGACTTTGTTGCTTTGTGAATGCCGGTACCGCTGGCGCTGCGTTTTAGCTTGTCAGAGGAAGAGGATTTCGTGCGTTTGCTGATCTCGACGTGCGAACGATTGCGCTTCAGGTTGCTTTGGGACAAGCTCTTGGGAATGGCCGTCGCTGGGTCTGGTTGCGTTAATAATTTGACCTCGCTGGTCGCGCGGCGGTGCGGCGCGGGTCGCTGAGCGAATTGAGCCTCGAGATCGGTGGGAGAGCCCTGCTTCCGGCCCAGATTGATTCTCGACGAGCTGTTGTGCGGCTTGTGCAGGACCTTGCTGGAGGAGGGCACACGGCCGTGGAGGCGGCCGACGTGGCGTTGTTTCTGGTGTTTGGGGCGGTGATGCGGATGGCCCGAGGAGGTGACAGTGTTGGCGTCGCTCTGGTCGCTGGCGTGATGGTTGAGGGGAGGGCGCTTTGATTGGCCCCCGGTCGCGGCAGATGCAGATGCAGACGCAGATGCAGATGCGCTGTCTTGGTCACTCTCGGACGCCATGGCTGCGGTGGTTTTTGCGCTGGCTGGGCCGCTCCAGGCCAGATTGCTCTCGGCACGGGTTGGCGATGGCTCTTCTGTCACTGCGGCAGAGGAGCTGCAGAAGAGCCGCCCTGGTCTCGATTGCTGTGATGCGCTGCGGTGCGCAGAGCCGGCTCGACTCTGGACTCGACGGACGGCGGGCTTGTAAGTGCCTGTGGCCTGCTAACGCCGGCACCGAAAGGGTTGCTGGTGGAGGGTGAGACACGTGTGAATGGCTATAAAGGGTGGTTGATGTCGGCTCAAAGCGACGCGATGCGACAGGCGGGCTTCCGGACGGTCCAGGGGGGTCAATTGACGGCGGCACCTGTAAAAAAAGTGCTCCAGACGTCCAGCACGGCCGAGCGGCAAAAGGGCTGGGGATGCGAATTGGCGCGGCCGAGGAGGGATGGAGGATGCGGGATTGCAGGATGATGGACGAGGAGAAGAAGAGCTTTATGAGAGGTGGAAAGACGGTGACTGGCCTGGGCTGGGCTGGCTTTAGGAGAAAAAAAAGTGCGATGCGTTTGCTGCTCGCGGCAGGTGGAGGAGGGTTGAACAAAGTGTAATTGTCATGCCCTAATACAGGAATAGTCGCTCTTCCCGAGACAGACCGCCGAACCGGGTCTTTGATGCCGCCGGAGAGACAGGAGCAGCGACGAGGAGATGGAGGGTGGCCGGGCCAGCGCAGTGGTTGAGGCTGGACGACGAGGCTTCTGTCGGGTCTCTGCTTTGTTTGCTTGTCTGTGGCCCATCAGAGCTGGCCGTCAAGATGCTGGGACGGAGTGCGGAATACCAGGAGCTAGCAGTAGCAGATGCCGACTAACCTACCTACGTAATGGACGGGAGTTAATAACTCAAGCTTTCGGTCCATCGAGCATTAGCACTATTAGTAACTGGCATTGTGTTACAGATCTATTGTTATTGTTATCAATTCCCCCTCCTCCTCCTCCTCCTCTGTTCCCAGCGCTTTTCTCCTGTTCTGTTGCTTCGCTGGAATGCAGCAAAGAGACATTGTCTTAGCTCTAATCAACCACCTTATTCAGAGCCATGGCATAATTTGCGTCATACTACGCATTGGCTGCCACCTAGTACTAAATCGGCGCTGTCTCTGCTCCATCCTGGATTCCTGTACTTCCTTGGCGTTCCACGCTGCTCTTGGGCCGCATCAGGTCGTGCTACCGTCCAATCTCGCTCTCCCAAAATGGCGAATCCGGGCTCGTTCAGTGTTACAATGTTCAGGTGAGTGGCGCACCGGTGAAGGGCCCTTTGCGCGACTTTAAGAGATTAGGCCTCTCTACCAACTTTGAGGCTTACCATGCAACCCGTCGGAGAGCGCAGCCAGCGTCTGCAGTTGAGAGGCTCTGCGTGCCAAAAGCCGTCTTACACGCACCCCACGGCTCTCGATGTGATTAAAAGCTCACGGAGATTTCAGGTTTCATCCGGGTACTGATTCTGCGCTGAATAGCTGCTGCCTAGAGTTGCCCAATCTGTGCGTCGTTGCCCAATATCCTCCAGATTGCGGGAACCTTGTTCCCACGCTGTTCTTTGGAGACACATCCACCCTTGCTCGCGATGCAGCGATGACGTTGGGTTCTCGGAACGTTCCATTGCCGCGTCCCCCTTTTCGTGTTTAGCCTGCAAAATCAACTGCCTACTGCTACGCATAGCAGATTCGAATGTCTAGAGAATCCTAATCGTGAAAGACAAAGTCTTGTATGGATTGTTCAAAATTCTACCAAGAGCCGAAATCGAAGCAATACGCGTACTATCGTGCTAGCCCCGATCTCGGCGCGGTTACAGATCAAAGCTGATAATTTCGTTGCTCTTCACTACATAGCAGCAACATACAGGTTGGGCCAACTTCCTGCTTGGGCATGTTGAAATCATAATCCTAAATCAACGAGAACCTGTTCCACCACTGGGCGCATCTTGTTATTTATTCGGGCATAATGTGACCATATGAATTACAGTCTGGCTATGAAGCATCACGTGATTTTCTTCAAGTCTTGATACCGTACTTTCGCCCCACCGCCGGATTCTTATCTCCATACATGATACCCACCTACTACAGAGCACGGAGTCGCAGTTTGAGCTTTAGCCTCTATTCAAACTCCAAAGCCTCGCGACATTTTCCATCGCCGTTTGATCTAACTTTGGTATCTGCGTGACAGACGAGCTGCTAGCTGAACAATGTCTTCAATCTCAGAGCTTCAAGCCGAGCGGCAAACATATCAGGAACAGGTACGAACCGAGACTCTTGCTGCCCCGATATCTTTTCGCATCGTGAAGCCCGCTGCTGACTTGACCTTAGCTGGATCTTGTTTTTGCGCAAATCCGCGATGACCCTGATAATGTCGATCTCAAGGCGCTCCAAGAAGAGCTGAAGAGCTTTGTCGACCTCCTAGATGAAAACATCGCCGATCTAAAGTCGAAGCAGGTGCCCAAGCCTGATCCTAAACCAGCCGCGCCTCCGCCAGAGCCGGCCAAGTGGTCGAAAGAGAACCATCCTGCCTTCAAGAAGGCTGCACCACCGGTTGAGGAAAAGGAAGAGGTTACTGTGCAGTACCAGGTCAATGACTCTGTCATGGCAAAATGGCTTTCGGGCGACAAGGGTTTCTATCCGGCGCGTATCACCTCCATCACCGGGTCATCTACGGATCCCATCTATATCGTGAAATTCAAGAGCTACGACAACACTGAGACGCTTCGATCGAGAGACATTCGCCCTATTTCTAATAAACGAAAAGCCGAAGGCCCTGCATCAGCATCAAATACCGCAGTGGCCACTACGCCGGCTCCAGGAGTTGTTAGTTCCGCCGGCGCTACGATATACCCAGAGGCGAAGAAAGAACCAGAGGCAGACAAAGATGCTGCCAAGCCACCCAAGCCAAAGAAGATCAAGGCCAAGAAAGAGCTAGAAGCTGGCAAGTCCAAATGGCAAGATTTCAACGCCAAATCAAAGTTTGGCAAATCTAACAAGAAGGACTCTATGTTTCGTACACCCGAGGGAATCCATGGGAGAGGTAAGAATCACACGAATCTTGTACTTGTATGAGAATCTTGAATGGGAGGTGCACTTTTGCTAACGTTTCTTAATCAGTTGGATTTACTGGCTCTGGCAAGACAATGAGCAAGGACCCTACACGTAGTCGGCACATCTACCAAGTCAATGAAGAACTCGACTAAGAATGCCTTACCTGGATTAGGCAGCCACTGGGAAAAGCTTGGATTGATGACGAAAGGCGTTAAGGAGCTGGGAAACTATTGTTGATACCGCGGTAATATGCCTTGCGATAAGTTGTTGAAGAGGCTAACATTTATGCATTTGGCTTTTTTTACACCAGAATTTTTATATCACGGCTTCGAGAAGAAGAATTAAAGTTATGGGAACATTGACTGCCATTTGGCAAAATACAAGATGCTTGATTCAAGAATAGGCGGCCCCCTTTGGGATGTGGAATGCATTGCTAAGCTACTATGGCAGGTTCCCACGACCACCCTTTCATTCAAACGAGGTTTAAATTTCCGAGCATGCCGTCTAAGTATCCTTTTTTCCCTACTTTTCTGTTTGAAAAAGAGAAAGGAAATAAGAAGAGTTAGTGATTGTGATGCTCGTGTTCTTTTAGATCAATCTTGGGGCAAATAGCTTTAGCGATATCGAGAAACGCCGATGCTCGTTCGCTGGATGGCTCAGCGACGACAGTCGGCTTTCCTCTCTCTCCATCATCACCAATGTTGGGATGAAGCGGAATGTCTCCTAGAAACTGAATTTCATGGTCTTGACATAGCTTTTCCACCCTTTTATTTGATCCAAAAACGTGAGTGTCCTGATGGCAGTGAGGGCAATTGAAGAGAGACATGTTTTGCACCATGCCAAGGATGTTGACGCCAACAGTTTTGAACATGTTTATGCCCTTGACTGCGTCTTTCGTTGCCAAAGTGTGTGGTGTGGTGATAATAACAGACCCTAGGCTGATAAGTATCAAGAGACTAAAAGTAACAGTGTTTAACGCGAAGAAGCAACAGCTGCTTACCGTCTAGAATTACTTGCTGAGTTATGGTCAACTGCGTATCGCCAGTTCCGGGAGGCAAATCCAACACAAGAATATCCAAGCCACCCCAGTCTACTTCGTGGAGGAGTTGCTGAATCGCCTTCATAACCATTGGCCCTCTCCAAACAACTGGAGCACTTTCGCCCACCAGATAGCCCATTGACATTGTCTTGACTCCGTAATTAGTTAGGGGTACGAGCTGATTGTCTAAAAATAGTCTTGGTCAGCGTATCATATTGGGATTTAAAACCAGTTTACCTACTACTGGATAGCCTGGGCTCTCCCGATAGATCGAATAAGGTCGGAATAGAAGGGCCAAAAATATCAGTATCTAAAATTCCAGCGCGGAAGCCAAGTCGAGCAAAAGCTAGTGATAGGTTTGCTAATTTATCTCAGTTAGTGAACCAGCTCTATATCTACCTATATGTCTTTTACTGGGCGTGTTGAGGTAACCCACCAGCGACTGTGCTTTTGCCAACGCCGCCTTTGGCAGAGGAGACGGCGATGACTTTGTCTACACCGGTAATCTTCCGTCTCTGAGGCCGTTTTGGCCAATTTGGTGGAGTACCCGATCGAGGGAGACCCTAAAGGTTTTGTCAATCAAAGGTTCTTTGGTAATAGAAGTATTCAACTCGTACCAGGGGATTTTCATGTTGAAGAGCTCTTACAGCTCGAAAGAGCATCGAGGAAGTAGGGCGCATTGTTGATAACTACACTGAAAGAGTTTGACGTTACTATCGAGTTGATAGTGAACTTTAGGTCATTTCAACTTGATTTAAATTATCAAAATCAGGTGGCGCAAGATGTCAATATCATCCCTCTACCCTTCGAGTAATTATTGTGTTCTAAGAAGCTCACTCACGTACAGCATGATTGGAGAAGACAGTATCAGCATCGACAGACCCATTTATATAGGATCTATACGGTTAGTCTGTTTGCCATTCATGCAAGCTAATTTTTGCCGCGATTCACCGCCTAAAAGTTTAGTTTCGCAGCTGTCTCTAGACGGCAGAAAAAATCCCAGCGTGGGGTCTAAGCAAACTTCGCAACCAAGCTAAATCACATCCAAAATGGCCAAGACAAAAGGACGCGCAAAGGCATTCCAAGATCCGGATGAGGAATTGGTCAAAGGTATGACGATTTGGTATTGTCTGTTTTTGCTCATCTATCCATATACTGATAACATGTAGATTACGATCCTGAAGCCAATGGGAAGAACGACAATGACAATGGAAGCGGCAGTGAGGATGAACACGCTGGTACAGAACATTATGTGACTGTTGGACACAGTAAACTGAGGGAAAAGGAGGGCCTTTCTTTAGGAAAGCAGTACCGCGGGTCTCGAGTTTCGCGCCATGCCCTAGAACAGAGCAGCGATGAGGAGGACGAGGAAGAAGAAGAGGAGGACGAGGAAGAAGAAGAGGAGGAGGACGACGACGACGACGCTGAATACGACGATCCGGAGACTGCCAATCTAGAAGCCGATACTGCGGAAGCTAGCGACTCAGAAATCAGCAGTGACAATGCTCTGGCAGAGTCTGATGACGAGCGATTGGACGCTTTCGTATTTCGCGGTAGCTCAAAGCCTAAGAAGTCGCAGAACAAGCGAGCTACTGCGGCGGATTTCATGTCTGCTTCTGAGGAAGAACAAGACTCCGATGAAGCAGAAAATGAGGAAGATGAAGATGAAAACTCTGACGAGGACATGGACGATGGTCTTGATGCATTGCTGAATGGTGGAGCCTCCGATGAGGACGAGGATGAAGAAGATGAAGATGATGATGAGGAAGATGAAGATGAAGATGAAGATGAAGATGCAACTAAACACACTGCAAAGCCTTCCTTGGACGCCACACCAAACCAGACTGAGGTACAAAAGGGAGTTGCCATTCAACAACAGAGGAAAATCTACGACGGGCTGCTCAACATGCGCATCCGACTCCAGAAAGCAATTGTGGCTGCAAACACGTTCACTACTTTGGATTCAGACTCAAGTTCCGAAGCGGAGGCTTACGAGGCTGCAGAGGAAGCCGCTATCAAGCTGCTAAACACTATCAGCGACCTTCGAGAAAACCTGGCTCCACCAACCGCCGCGGGCAGTAAACGCAAGCGAGCATTGGACATTGAATTCTCAAACCAACAAATTTGGAAGCAGATTCAAGACGACGATCAAAGAGCGATAAAGTTCCGAGAAGACAGGTTAGACAAGTGGTCTCGCAAGGTGCAAAGCGTCACTGTGGCTGCGCCCGCAAGCAGACTCGGCGCAAAGCCCAAGACGCTTATCAGTGCTTTGCAAGACCAGCTTGCCAATCCCGATGGCAGACTTGTCAAGCGCACGCGAGTGCCTCGATCTTGCGCACCAGTTCAGGCTTCCAAGAAGATTACCGAGAGCGAAGATATCTATGACGATGCAGATTTCTACCAGCTCTTATTGAAAGAGCTTGTGGATCAACGCACCGTCGAATCGGCCGCAGAACAGTCAAGCGCCGTAGCCTCTGTCATGCTCACCGCCAACAAGGAGGCCAAGACTCGAAAAGTTGTGGACAGGAAGGCAAGCAAAGGACGAAAGCTGCGATTCACAGTGCACGAAAAACTACAGAATTTCATGGCCTCAGAGGACAGAAGAGCTTGGGAGCAGGGTGCAATTGATCGCTTCTTCGGCACCTTGTTCGGTCAAAAGATGGAGTTGAATGAAGAAGAAAGCGAGGATGATGAGATGGAGGCTCTGTATAAGCAAGATGAAGGGCTTCGGTTGTTTAGGTAAGAAGAGAGCCGAAGAGGATGGTGTTCCTTTTCTTTTAATTTGCTCCATCTTCATAGAGTGACTGATAGACGGCTAAAAGCGATATCGGCCAAATTGGATAACAATACACTGTTAATAGTTTCTTTGATACCTGATAACAATCCCTAATATTGTGCACATTGATTTGTCATTGCATCAGGCTCTGTGTCATTGTAAACAAAATGCTTCTCAATCGTCGAGATAGCTAACAGGTTCCGAGCCTATGCTCCTGTGTAAGTTCTTGGTGTGAGCGCGGAATTCCGATTCCGAATCCGCCTCGGTACGTCCATCCGGGGGCGGGTGCTCTCGGCTCTTCTTCCCCACAGCGGAAGCGCTCCATTCCATCCCACCTTCATATGCCGAGCAACGAAATGTAGAGAGCTTGAAGATTTCGAGGTCAAGCTTTTGTTTTAATTCTCTTCTTTCAAGAATAGATTTTGGTGAAACTGCAGAGATAGAGAGACACAAAAAAGAAAAGAAAAAAGAGATGGCTTCTACAACTTCTTGGGTCCCATTGGACCGAAACGGCGACTTCTCAATTCACAACCTGCCCTTTGGCATCTTTTCTGAGGGCAGCTCACAACCCCGCGCTGGAGCTCGAATTGGCGATTTTGTCATTGATCTCAAGGCGCTGGCCACCGATGAGCAGGCGAAGCAGCAGCTGAGCTCTCTCGGCGGTCTGGATGCCGTCTTTGGACAGTCGTCTCTCAATGCCTTTGCCGAGCGCGGGCGCTCTGTGCATCGTGCTGTGCGAGGCGACCTTCAGCGCATTCTAAGCCAGTCGACAGATGTGCCGGCCATTCTCAAGGACAACGAGGCGCTGAAGCAAAAGGCGCTGATTCCCGTCGAAAAGGTCAAGATGCACCTGCCGATGCAGATTGGCGACTACACCGATTTCTATGCGGGCTATCATCACGCCTACAAGGTTGGTGTCCTGTTCAGAGGGCCTGACAATGCGATGCAGCCCAATTACACCCATCTGCCTGTGGGCTACCACGGCCGCTCTTCCAGCATCGTTGTATCTGGAACTCCCATCCGACGACCTCGCGGTCAGATCCTCCCCAATCCGGCAGCGACCCCCAAAGAGCCGATTACGGTAGCTTGCCGCCGACTAGACTTTGAGCTGGAGCTGGGCTGCTTCATCTGTAAGCCCAACGAGATGGGCGAGTCCATCGACATCAACAAGGCCGAGGAATACATTTTCGGATTCGTTCTTTTGAACGACTGGAGCGCCCGTGATATCCAGGCGTGGGAGTATGTCCCTCTGGGGCCATTCAACGGCAAGAACTTTGGCTCTACCATCAGCCCATGGGTTGTCCTCGCAGACGCCCTGGAGCCTTTCCGCACCGAGCCGCTGGCGAACGACACCCCTGTGCAGGATTATCTCAAGGAGACGCAGAAGAAGAGCGTGTTTGACATTCAGCTCGAAGTCAGCCTTACCAGTGAGTGTTCTTTCCACCCCACCAAACATGCCTAGCTGTACACAGTAAGTACGGATGCTGACTTTTGCGGTGCGCCTTAGCTGAGAGCGGCGACCACGTCAACTTGACCAAGACGAGCGGCCGGAACCTGCTCTGGTCCTTTCCACAGATGATTACGCACCACACCGTCGGCGGATGCCCCATGCGGGCCGGAGACTTGTTAGGGTCCGGAACCATTAGCGGCACAGAGCCTGGTGAGCGCGGCAGCTTGTTGGAAAGGACCGAGGGCGGCAAAGCTGATGTTCAGCTGGAGAAGGGTGGTGTGCGCCGCTTCATTGAGGACGGCGACAGCTTGAACATGAGGGGATACTGTGAGAAGGATGGTGTGCGGATCGGGTTTGGTGACTGCGAGGGCAAGATTCTGCCTGCTCATGGTCATGAGGAGGTTTGAGAAGAAGAGAAGAAAACAAAAGAATGCATAATGTGAAATGGGAAATGTAATAGAAAAGTTTACAAAGATTGAGGTATTGTAGACGAGCTCTTGGCAGAATGAAAGCAGATACTTCTACTTGTATGAAGTGCATTCTTCATGTCTCTGGGGGCTTCGAGATTCTAGTGAACACGGTTACGTGACATTTAACACGTCTTCTTCAGTATTATTGTTTCACAAGCTCTCAGCTGCTTCAGAGGGAGGGATGAAATCTTTCCAATAACGTTACCCCATGAACCGACCTATTTAATTATCGAGCCAAAAGTGACATCCAGGTCGTGCTCCGCGGGCCCCACGCGCTGCAACCCATACGACGGAGCAATTGTGGCCGCTGTTGCGTTTCCCACTGACAAGTGTGTGCAGCGGAGGATCGGAGATTCCACATGGCTATTGAGGACATTGCCGAAGCCCTTGTCATGCCATGCGTCGGGGGTGATACCTGGTTGCAATCATTGGTATCCTTCGTACTTGTGGCCAGGCGTGTTCCTCAATTATACGCCCTGGGAACCCTGTCAAGACAGATCCTGAGAGTGACGAGTAATATCGACCACGCACCGCGCCGCCACGTCTCCACCGCGCTCTCAGCCAGCTGCGACTCAGCTTTCCAACGGCTTACAGGCTACGGAATAGTGTCCGTAGCGGTATTTTGTAAGCGCCGGCAGCAATTCGTATGTACTTCAGCTGCATTTGCTATCTCTTGCATGCGTTCTGCTAGCAGGGCATTTTTATCGGTCGAGTCGGCAAACTTCAAAGTCACGTGGGCGCGGCTTTATACCTTTGCGGGAGCGTGCCACAAAGTCCGAGGTTGTCCTGTCAGTGTGGCTCTTTTCTCCCTCGGTTTTCTCTTTCAGAAGGGGCAGAAAGAAAAGTAAGGAAAGGCATTCGCTGCCTGCACCTCGCGCGCGCCAGCCATGGAGCAGATTGAGACGCAGGCATCAGACTTGCGCTACCTGACGGCGCCGGTCGGCGCTTTGAGCGACTCGGCGAGTGTCTCGTACGAGACGCCGCAGTCACGGCCGCAGATGAGCCCAGGTTCCGCCATGTACGGAGACAATTCCGCGCTGCAGCCCGGAGGCGATTCGCCTGGAGACGCCAATGCGGGTGCGAGCAAGAGGAAGTCGATTGAGGACGGGGCTGCGATCGCGAAGCAGACGAGGAGCAAGAGGAATCGGGTGAGTTTATGGGTTCTTTGTCCGAGGCTTGGGGTGCGATGTGATGATGCGGCGTGAGGCGCAATGCGGCTAGGGGTGAATAAGATGCGGTTCACATGCTTGCGGAGCCAGCTTCAAATAAATGTGACTTTATAAACATCTAGATTGAGTTCCATCAGCTGACTTCAAGATCTATCTAGTACATCTCTATTGCATGGTAAGCTTGCATTCAGCTGCCTCCGATGATACCCGGTGATCTATCAGGCCACAATTGCACATGGAATCATTTCATCAATCATCCTTTCAATATACAATGAGCCAAACTGAACTATACTGACTATTTCGGGGCAACCCCATATAGCAATGAGTGTAAAAGGCGCAAGATCAAATGCAATGGTGAAACGCCATGTCAACGATGCGGCAACCTCAACCTTGCCTGTCTTTATGCTCCCAATTGCTGTACAAACAACTTTAAAGACTCCGACGAATTCAAAATGATTGCAGCACAGCTAAGTCGCCTCCAGGAGGAGGTCAATTGGCTCAATCAGTCTATGAGAAACATGCAGAGCGAGCCGCGACTCGCGCCACCAACTTCAGACCGCATCATGCCTACTGGCGGCTCAGTTATTGCACCTTCTCCGTCACAAAGCTCAGCATCTGGTCAGCGGCCAGATTACCTTGGAAAGCAAACGCCATTTCAAGGTCCAACCAGCACGGCATTTACCTTGGATGTCGCCAGGGAGACGATCAGCAACATGGGATGGAAGACTGCTGAGGAAGGAGACGATATTGAGCCGTTACCAAGCAACAACATGGTCACTACAATATCAACCCAGATGGCTGATCCGCTCTTGGAATTTGATAAAGACGAGATGGTGCGCCTCTGTAGAGTGCACGAAGACGAAATCGGCATCATGTATCCCGTGATCAATATCCAAACCGTCATTGCCCATGCCAAAAACGTCTCGCTATATCTAAGGAATCCACGACCAATGGAGCTCTTGAATGATCTTGAAACCTTGCAGTTGAAAATCATCATATGCTGTGCTCTTGTCGTAGAAGGACATGGCCATTCCGAAAAGGCATTACGCTTGTATGAGAGCATGGAGAATATCATTAATCGAAAGCTCATGTCAGACGGCCTTGATGTCAGTGATCTTCCCCTCTTAGCACTTGTAGCTGGCTACCGATTCTTGTCCAATGAGGAAGTACTCGCATGGCGTGTCATGGGCCAGGTGGTGCGGCTCTGTGTCGAGCTTGGTATTCACCAGAAGAGGGGTTTGATGACGATACAGAATGAGGCCGAGAGAAAGAATGCGCTTAATAGTTTTTGGTCGGCATACGTTCTCGACCGCCGATGGGCGTTTGGTACGGGTCTGCCGTACGCTATTCAAGATGACGAGATTGACCCAACCTTGCCTATGCCTGTAAGTATTTAAAAGCATTTGCACAGTATACAATCTATGTAACTAACGTCGCCCCAGGAGGAATATCCTTATCTTGTGGCCATGATTACATATTCTCGAATAGGCGCCAAGGTGTGGCGTCAAGTGAATCATTTTGGACCCGTCCTTGCACACGAATTGGGCCAGGAGGAAATCGAAAGACTCGATCAAGAGATTTTACGGTGGTATGAGACTGTTCCAGAAGAGATTAGAGTGCGAAGCTGGGACAAGGAGACTCAGATAACATCAACACCATCATATAACCTCCAACGGCTACGGATATGGACATATCTACGATTCAACCAGGTAGGTTATGGGGAAGGTTCCAGGCCAATCTCAAATCACAAACTGACAGCTTCTTAGATACGCACATGGCTATATACCCCTGTGTTGCACAGCGCAACCAGTATCATGGCGCATCCGTTAGAAGCCCAGCGCGTCGTCGACTTGGCCAAAGACACAATTCAATACCTCC